GGGACTGGCCATTCTCTTAATTTTAGTCTCTGCCAACTAAACACATTCACTGGGTTAAGTGCAATGCTTCTCTATGACATGAGTTGCTAAGCAAAAAGCTTTTGTAGGTACTGAGGGGAGTATAAAAGAAAATGTAAGACCCAGTCCCTGGCTTCAAGAAGCTCAGATTTAAATAAGGAATAAAACAGGTGAAGGAAATCACATTGCGAGAAATTCAGTGAGTTTTTTGTTTGTTTGTTTGTTTGTTTGTTTTGATAGCAAGGATTGAACTCAGGGGCACTTAACCACTTAGCCACATCATCACCCCTTTTTTATATATATTTTATTTTGAGAGAGGGTCTCATTGAGTTGCTTAGAGCCTTGCTAAATTGCTGAGGCTGGCTTTGAAATTTCAATCCTTCTACCTGAGCCTCCCAAGGTGCTGGAATTACAGGTGTGCACCACCACACCCGGCCAGTGGGTGGTCTTGAATGTGCTATCAAGGTCAGAAGAGGTAGAGGCCTCCTAGATTCCAGACATGGAGAAAGACTAAGGAAAGAAGTAGGAATTGAGCTGACCTGGACCACAAAGGATGGGCAGGATATGGCTAAACTGAGAGAAGATAGGTGAGTGTTCCTAACAGATCACTCAAGGAAGACTGCAATCTAGAAATGCACAGGGCGTGCTGGAGCTATAGAGTGGCCCAATGTGGTACAGCTCCTTAAACCTTCCTGCCCAAAGGGGCAGTGTATTAGCAACCTTATACTCTCAGGCCTGGAGATCACGAATTCATTTTGCTGTAGTAGTTAACAAATATCTACTACTATCCTAATCATAGCATTCATGCACTGAATAGTTATTGAGCATTATTTTTTAGATACAATGCTAGGTGCAGGATATTCAAAGATGACTTAGACAGTTGCTGCCCCAAGAAGCTCATAGTTGGTTGGGAGACAAATACACATGACTAATGCAAAGAGCGGTATTGTAAATGTAAATGGGATTGGGCCAAAGAGAAATACACTCACAATTAGTTTGCACATGTTTCCCCATGAGTCACCTCAAGTCATTTTGGAAATAATTCAGAGTTTGTAACATACCTAATCTCTTATAATTGTTATACTGCTGATTCCCACAAATTCTTGTTGGAATAATGTGGGGTGTTCAGTAAACCATAGGTAAATATATGTTATGTGTTCGTTCCACTCGAGGGCTGCAAAGGCCCAAGGCATACTGTTTACCAGTCCCAAAGAGAGAACCTAGAGGACCCAACAGAGAGATTTTGGACATTTTATTACTTACTCCTCGGTGGTGGTGGATCAGGATACAATGGAGGGCTGCGCTGTGCCTATAAGCTGGGGGAATGTATAGGATAGGTGCATGCCCACTGTGCAGGTGGCTTTCTTCAGATGCTTCATTCCTTTACTTTACAACCAAGGTCATTTGTGTAGATATTCTCCCAAAGATTGGAGATAAGGGAAATGGCAGGCTCCCCCTCCCCATTTCCCTATTTCCCACATTCTTTTAGAGACCTTCATATCTCACTGCAAAATTTCTTAGGCACTGATTAGTGTTTAACCCAACAGTGTTATATTGCTTACTAATAGCTATTTTTGCCCTTTTTATTTATACTGGGTCTCACTAAGCTGAGGCTGGCTTTGAATTTGCAATTCTCCCATCTCAGCCTCCAGAGCCACTGGGATTACAGGTCTGTGTCACTGCACCAGCTTCAATTCATCTTCCACAGTAAGATATATTTTGATCATTCTACTTCTTCAGACAAGAGATTTCAAAGCCTTCTTAATATTTAGAGAATAAAACTGAGGTTCCTTAACTGAAATTCAAGGCCTCTCATGATTTGGCCCAGCCCACCCAGTTTTTATTGCAGCCATACCAGTTCTCCTACCCCATGCCATAGCCACTCTTACCTGGATGTCTTTTCTACCATCTAGAGTGTCCTCCCCTTCCTCTCCAACAACTGAACCTATTTTGTTTTCTTTCCCATGACCCGCCCCAAATTCACTGGCTGGTCTAGCACAAGATACAATAGTGACGTAGGTGATGTCCATTACTGACTGCTTGGCTACAGCTCAGTCTCCAACTCCACCTCTGCCACCACATTCCCTCCGTTCCAGAGCTGCAGGGACCTTGATCCACAATCTGCACCATGGAAAGAATCTACACCATGGAAAGTCTGTGTGAAAGTGTGTGTGTGTGTATGTGTGTGTGTTTGTGTGTGTGCGCGCGTGCCCATGGGTTTACCATGATTTGCTTATTGACTTAGAATTGCTCACTCCATTCCCTACCTTCCTTTGAGACCTGCTATCTTAGTTATCTGCTTTCTGGGCCTCATGCATGTTCTCTCCTTTGTCTAGGCCTCTTGGGATCAGGAGCTTGACTTCCAGTGGCTTGGTTCCATCTGGCACATCTCTAGATACCGTTTCCAGGAGCTATTTGTTCTCTCAACCGGAATCAGATAGTCGTCAGAAGTAAATGCTCCACACTGGCATAGGGAGGGAGACTGAAGGTCTATTTTTGGCATAATCTCTTCATCACTACTTCAGTAAATGAATTCCAAAGAATTAAAGCAACAGGAAGGTTGCACAATCTTTCTAGTATAACTCTAGCAAAGAAGAAATTAATTGCTTTAGGTGGGAGGGGTGAGCAGAGGCAGATTTGCTGTTTAAGTTAATAAAGCTTAAATTTCAGGGTGTCTTTGAAGGTCTTGCATATCATTTTGTATTTTAATTTTGTTGTCAGTTTCTTAAAAACTTTCCCCAAGATAATTTAAAAACCTGGCCCAACCCCAGGGTGGAGGGTAAAGAGCAATAATGCAGGTTTCAATTAATTCCAGTGAGGCAATTAAATTGAAAGAGAAAGTGAGGGTTTTTAAAGTGCTAGAACTTCAAGAAAGGGCTTTTTGTGCTAACCCATGACTTGGGAGGAATCAGCTTGGAAATATAATGCTCAGGTCCTACGTCACTAAGTCCTCTGGTCGTATACTTAATCAAACTGAGAGAGCAAATCATTTCCTTTACTTGGATAAGTAACTTTACAAGAAAATGAAGAAAATCAAACATAATGTTATTTTACTTTTGATTTTTTTTGTAATCATCATAATAATCAGTGTGTTATCTAAGATGTTTGAACATTTTAGAGACCTTGGTATATTAGGAAATCTGACTGATTTGACTTTTTTTTTTTTTTACACACGTAAAATAAGACATTTATTATGCTAAAGAACAGATTTTATTCTGCATTTTCCCCAAACACTAAAATAGCACATGGCATAGTAATTTAGCACACAATATAAATTGATATATGCAATCAGTTATCCCCCAAATAGCTGTTTTAAGTCTCACTTTGGGAGTCCTTAAAAACTTACACTTTTAAATGACCTTTATTAATAAAATTATCAATGAACAACAAAAGGAGTCACTTCAGAAAAATCTTAAAAGACATCAACTCTTAGGACTTTTGTAAAGGAGGTTCTTGATTTGCCTCTCTACATCTGAGCCAGAGCAAAGAGTCTCAAGTTCCTTTTCACTTAGAGTAACACTGCTAGGGTTCCTAGTTTGAGATGATTAAATTTAATATTGCAACTTTCACCATAGGGCCTCCATTTAAACAGCATTTCAAGTGGAAGGAGTATGAGAAAAGAAGTCAGATTTTACTGCAGACCAAAATTATTCTATGAGATGCAGAAATGGCAACAGCTCGCCATGAGCTTAGCAAGGTTTAATAAAAATACAGTGGGTAGACTTTACAAATATTCACTTCCAGGAGGTGATCAAAGAGGAGTTGAGGAGACAAGATGATGTCTGGGACAATAGCCCTTTAAAATGGATAGAGATCTCGAGATATATAAAGAATTTCATGTTAAATCACCATGTGCTTATCTGATATTAAACTGGATATATCAATAATCATCTGAAAGGGTTTTACCAATTCTGAGAGTCTTTTAAGCACAATTTAAAACATGCTAAAAATTCCTTCTGCATCCATCAGTTTTTGGTGAGTGAACTTGACTTCCTCTGCCTGGTCACACAAACCAAAGCAGGATCTGAGCAGCTAAGCTGTCTGCATCCAGACTTAATGGGAAAGAAATCATTCTAGGACAACTTCTAAAATTAATCTACTATTTTATTGTTCTGCTTGTACCTTAACTATGGCATAAGGGATTTGCTAATTGAAAAGGCTGTAGAGCCAGTAACCCCAGTGTTATCTCCAGACCATTTGAGGTACTTTTTACACATGAAAGCATTTTCTTATACTCTGTTGTTTGCTCTGAAAACATGGGCTTTAAATGGTCAAGGAAAACACATCTTGTCTTGTCCTCTAGGAGTACTTCAGGACAGGAGTGCAGTGTTGCAGGCAGCACAGAACGCAGGCGAGACAGTTCTGACTCAGAGCCTAGTCCCTCATGAAGAGCACTTGGTGGTTCACCCTTAAAAACTACCATTTCCCACAGTTTCGGAGGGACCGGCTGTCCTGACACCCAGGACTCTCCTTTGGGGCACTGTCCTCTCTGGCTGTCCATGGCTCTGGGCCCACTTCTTAGCCAGTCCCTCCCCAGAGCATCCCCAACACCGAGGAACACCCCAGCAAGATGCTCTTCTGCAGGAGCAAAGGACAGGCCCATGGCCTTGGTTGGAGCAGCTACGGGAGCTAAATTTCTTCCCATTGATTTCTTCAAATATGGAAGCTCTTTGTTGCCATTGTGAAGCAAGAGATCAGTGTCACTCAGATCGTTTTTCATTTCCAATGATAACACCTCATTCTGTGAATTTCCATTTACATCAACTGCAGACTTATCCATCCAGAAAGGTATATCTGCTGGGCAAGGGCTCTCCTTCTGTGTTCTTTTCTTAAGGCTACATAATTGTTTGTACCAGTCATCTCCTCCCTCCCCCTTTGCTTCTATCAGGCAGATGCCGAGGGTCCCTCCTCCGTCCCTCATGTTTTGTATTCTTTGATGCAGTGAGCCTGGGGTAACACCTTTGTCAATCAGGGGAGGGCCTTCAGTGGATCTCAATATGAACCTGCAGGCGCACGTTAAGCATCATGGAAGCCACGATGTAGAGGTAGGGGAAGTTGATACGCAGCCGCCAGGCCAGGTCGAAGAAGATAAGCAGTGTGCGGGTCAGCCCCTTGCAGAAGACCCCATAGGAGCGGGCGGCGGCCGAGCGCGAGAGGCGGACAGCCAGGCCCGACAGAGCCGCCGCCATATAGAGACCGGCGCTCCCACTGCCCGCCCGCCCGCCGTCCCTCTCCGCGCCGCGTCGTCCCGGGCCTCCGCCCCGGCCGCTGGCCTGCGCACGGCGCGCTCAGGGAGCAAGGGAGGCGGCGGTGAGGCCGGCGGGCGGGCGGGCCACTGGGCAGCCGAGTCCGCGCGTCACGCTAGGGAAGCGCCTCAGCGAGCCGCCGCCTGGTCCCGGCCCGGCCGCGCGGCCTCCTGATTTGACTTTTAATTTTAAATTATATTTAATTTTACTTGTAGTTTTTATTTGGAAAGTCTGAAAGAGTTTGCTTATGAAAAACATCTTGTTGTTTTAGAGAAATTTGTTTCAATCTAAAAGTTTTGACTTATTAAATTTGTAAGTAGTATCTTACATGCTTTGGATGACATATTAGCTTTCCATTGTTACAACAAAAAATGCCTGGGAAAATCAACTTAGAGGAAAAATTTGTATTTTCACTGTATCAGAGGTTTCAATCCACGTCACTTGGCCCCGTTACTTTGAGCTTGTGGTGAGGCAGAACATCATGGCAGAAGGGTGTGACAAGGTAAAGCTGCTCATGGCATCCAGGAAGCAAAGAAAGAGAGGAGGGGGTCAGGGTCCCAACATCCCCTTTAAGGGCGCACCTTGGATGACCTAACTTCCTTCCACTGAGCCTCACCTCCTAAAGATTCCCCCACCTCCCAACAGCACTATCTGCTAGGGACCAAGCCTTCAACACAGGAGTCTTTGGTGGGGACATTTAGATCCAAACCATAACAGATGATTTGTTTTGTTAATATTTTAGCAGTGTCATACTGGTAAATGTAGCATTTGTCTATTTCCATTGTATATATACCCTCATCATAGATGATTTTAAGCTACCAATGCTGATGTCATTGAGGGTGGAAAGAGATACATTCAATCAGCTCTCTCAAGCCTGTGCCCAACATACCACTACTTATAAGTTTGCCTTGTTATAAATCTGATGCTGTATTTCAGAATCACCAGGGGAAAATAGGTATGTATATTTAAGCTTAAATGATATTAACATGTAATTTGAAGACAATAATGATCTCAGAGCTGGAAAATTTCTTGTGAACTTCCCAGAAAGGCTAAATTAATGTGAAGTAGTCAGCCCTTTGCAACTCAAAGGTCTAAAAAAATGGCAGAATCATCTGCTTTCATGCATCGGTTTGGTTTAATTGCACTGATAACCTTAACTAGCATCAAGGACAAGAGGAAGAAAAATAAACAAAAAACACACAAGAGGGAAAATCCTGGGGCTTTTTATCCCTTCTAGGAAGGCAAAAGACGCATACAAATAAAATGTCTCAATGTGGGGAAAAAGTACACATGGGAGAATTCAGCATGGTCTGTGCTCCTTAGGAGAACAGAGTGTGGTGTTAGTGGTCCAAAATCTACCTCCTCATATAGCATCATGGATTGTATGTATGATAGTGTTATTTTAATATGCATCTTATCCTCCAAAGTTCTTAGATTATAGGAGACCTTTGCTTTGGAACAGCCACATCACTCTTAATGGCATCTTGAACCTTGACTCCTAGATATTCAGATCTCTTATCATTGAATGGTTACTTATTCAAATCTCTGGGAATTGGCATTCTACACTCATAATATAGTTCAATTTCATCCTGATTCCTAGCCAAGTGGTGCTCTTAGTAGTGTCCTTTCTGACAGAGATTAAGGTTCATGTTATGTTATACATGCAAACACATACTATGAAGTGTGATTCATGCCTAAATTGGTTAATAAATATCTACCACTGATACCACAAGAGAAAGGAGACAGTTTAAGGATTTAGAATGACCTTTCAAGAAATACTGCTGAGTTTTTCCCTTTTCTGGACTCCATTTTTAACTCTAAGGAATTTGTTGAACTTTATGAATTTTTTTCTAATTCTTCCATTAGAAATATATTTTTCACTTTTCAAAAATCCTGGCAACAAAGTCAGAAGAAATCTTAAATCTCACATAGCTCAATTTCCCATGGAATTTGGGAATCCTATCCACAACATACTTGTTCTGACTAGTTGGTTGCAGTGTTTGTAGGGGATGACATAGGATCATCTAGATATGTCCAGATGATATGTCACAAGGTAGTCCAATTGTTGACCATCTATAATGATAAGAAAATTACCTCTTATTAGACCAAAGATCATTAGGATCATTAGTATAAGCCACTGTGTGTGACCCTTTAGGTGCATTTGGAGAGCACCCTCCAGGAATAAACAACTGTAGAGGAATCCAAGCAGGTTTACATAGATAAGACGGGGAATTGAACCTGAGTCAATACAATGAGAATGAGATATGACTAGAGAAACACAAAGATATGAGTTAGATGAGTTGATAATGATGAGTGATGAGTGATTTACTAAATATTAGCATAGATAAGAAATCAGGCCCTGCTTAAGTGCTTTACATTTATTAGCCATTAATTTCTTACAAAGATCTCATGAAGAACATTGCCTTCATTTTACAGTTGTGTGAGTGCGCCCCTGTGCATGCGCACACACAGTAGCTAGTCAAAGGTCATACAGCTAAAAAGTGAAAGAGCTTGAATCTGAACCAAGACCATTTGGCTTCAGAGTTGGATATTTAGCCATTACAATAGATCAATTTACTGACTATAAGAGAATGCCTGTCATTGTTCAATCTTTTAATCCTCATAGCAATCCTACAAAGCAGGATTCTGTTACCCTATTACAAACAGCTAAGTAACTTGCCCAAGGTCATACAGCTAATGAGTATTAAAGTTGGGATTCAGTCCTAAGTAGCTAGTCTCTAGATCTGATGCCTTTCCCCATTACTATAGATTCCCTATATGGTAGACTCCAGATAGATGGTAATAGCATCAGATACAAAGCTTTGTCATATGCAGGGAAGGGAAATGGTAAGGTGGGCAAGAATAGGTACCAGCAAGTAAAACGTGGAGGAAAATTAGCTGCTGACTGGCTGTGTAGGACACCCAGGGAACTCTCAACCCAAAAGTAGAGAAGACAAATGATCTTTAAAAACCTTCCATAGGAGTACATTCCGGAAGCTGCCCATGCAGAGAGAAAAGTTATCTACAAATCTGGCAAGAGATGATCTCCAGCTCTCACTGATAATAGGGAAATGAAATTGAATATAATTTGCCTGTTTGGGTTTCAGGAAGGGGGTGAGAATTTTGCAAATACCTGAATGTTTACTATGATTGTTTAAACAAAAACGGTCCATTAAAATTCAAGCTGCTGGGCTGGGATTGTAGCTCAGGGGTAGAGTGCTTACCTAGCAAGTGTGAGGCATTGGGTTCGATCTTCAGCATCACATAAAAAATGAATAAATAAATAAAATAAAGGTATTGTGTCCATATTCTTAAAAAAATTTAAGCTGCTGTATTCCCTTTCTTAACAGATTTTTTTGTTGTTGTTTGTTTGTTTGAACACAGGGTCTCCCTATGTTACCCAGGCTTTCTTTAAACCTCTAGTCCTAAGCAATCCTCCTGCTTTAGCTTCTGAACAGCTGGGTCAGTAACAGGCGGGTACCACTGCCCCCGGCTTACACAGCTTTTTAAAAAGCTGCACAGAAAGTTTCATGGTACATAAAAGTATTAATAAGATGTCTGTGATAATTTGTGCTGAATATTAAGCACAGTAATTATTGTCTTTCAAAAATTCATAAAATAAACTTTTAAACTGAGGCTTAAGTTCATTGGATCTGATGTTACAGCTATTTTCTTTTATTCATTAGGTGAACATTGCTCAGTAATCTAAAATAATCTCCAAATAGATGCTCAGGAAATTATGCTGGGGGTGGAGTTATAAGATTTTTAATATATACATATTAATTCATTTACTAAGCAAGCAATTTTTAAAAATATTCAATAGTAAATTCTGTGCTTACTAACTGCATTGATTCAGTAAATATTTATTTTTATTTTTAATTAATTATTTATTGCTTTTTAGTTATACACAACAGCAGAATCTACTTTGATATAATTATAGAAGCATGGAATATATTTTATTCTAGTTAGGATCTCATTTGCTGGGGTACTGGGGATTGAACTCAGGGTCACTTGACCACTGAGCCACATCCCCAGCCCTATTTTGTATTTTATTTAGAGACAGGGTCTCACTGAGTTGCTTAGCACCTCGTCATTGCTGAGGCTGGCTTTGAACTCCCGATCCTTCTGTCTCAACCTCCAGGAGAAAGCCACCTGCCCAGCGTAGGACTTCATTCTTATGGATATACATGATAGTGGAATTCATTATGTTGTTTTCAAATAGGTACATGGGGAAATTATATCATATTTATTCCACCATCTTTCCTTTTCCTATCCCCCTCCTTCCCTTCCATTTCCCATTATCAATCTATTGTACTTCTATCCCCCCCCACCCCCATATTGTGGGTTAGCTTCCACACATCGGAGAAAACATTTGATCTTTGGTTTTTTGGGACAGTCTCCAGATCCTCCATCCATATTTTTACAAATATCATAAAGTTATTCTTCTTTAGGGCTGAGTTTAATATTCCATAGTGTATATATGCCACGTTTTCTTTATCCATTCATCTGTTGAAGAGCGCCTAGGTTGGTTCCATAGCTTAGCTATTGTGAACTGAGCTGCTATAAAAATTGATGTGGCGGCGTCACTATAGTATGTCGATTTAAAATCCTTTGGGTATATATTGAGGAGTGGGATAACTGGGTCAAATGGTGGTTCCATTCCAAGTGTTTGATTCAGCAAATACTGAACATGCACTTTGTGCTAGATTCTGACATACATTCTCAGAAAACAGTAGCAGCGAAAAGTAACAAATTTTCAGTCCTGCCTTTATGAAGCTCACATTCTAGTGGGGAGGGAGAAAATAATCAGAAAAAACATAAGTAAAATATAGGACATTTTAGATGCTAGTAAGCCCTAAGAAGAAAAATAAAGCAGGGTAAAAGCATGGGTGGCGGAAGGCAGGTAGTAATTAAATTGGGTAGCCAATGAAGACATTCTAATGCACGTACTTATGGAGCCAGATTTGAGGATAGGTAGTTGGTGTACTTAGGTAAATCGGGTCTAATATCGAGTAAGATAAAGAAAAATGGAGGCCATTATTGAGAATGGAGTCCAGGAAACCAGAGCAGCTCTTGGGGAAATTGAAATGTTAATGTCCCCAAGGCCGGGAACCCATCCTAAGGAACTGTTAATGAAACAGCTCCCAGCATACAATGAGGTGCTAATCCAAAACCGCCCCAGGCCCTTCCTGCCCAGATTACTCCTTCAGCCCATCCATCTCCCACCTTTTGGCCTTTCCACCTGCATTCTATCACTGAAGGATTAAGGGAAACAAAGGACAGGAGTGTGGGAAGACTAAAAGAAGATTTTAGCTATAAAAGAGGGAAGACCTCCCCCTTCCATGGATTCCGCCTTCCGGCCCCCTTCTTCCTCCAGGGAGAAGTCTTTTCTGCTATCCTTTAATAAAGCCTTCCACTTTCCACTCACGTTGCTGTGCTTCTCTGGTGTTTATACTTCAGCATTCCCAGAAGCAAGGACTCCTCACTGGTAAACAGCAGTAACACTTAGGGCTGCCTGATACACTTTTACACATGCCCAAAATAATAATGTAAGAAACAATAAAAACGTGTACAGGTTTTAGGGTGCTAGATATGGACACTTTTTTAAGTATATAAAGTAGTACGTGTGAGGCACTGGGTTCGATCCTCACCACCATATATAAACAAATAAATACAATAAAGGTATTGTGTCCATCTATAACAAATAAAAGGATCCTAGATATACCTAGTTTTAATTTCATTTTAATAGTAAATACTTAGGGTATCATTTTTTGTCAAATGTAGTTTTCCAAGGAGTGGTACGATTCACTTTTTCTCCACACCAGGAAGCCCCCAAGGTCCTGTTTACTTAGGAGTAAATGAACTATGTCTCATTTTAATGCTTTTATTCCCCACAGCCTGTAACTGGCGCACATCGTTCAAAACAAGTTTGGTACCTGGCACCAACGGAACCCACTGAAGGTGCAAGTCCACTTACTATTAACTACAGATTTGGGTCCTAGAGAACGAATGAGCAACAGGGTCCCCTCTGCACACGTCTCAGTCGCCTAATTAATGCAAGCCAGCGTGGAGGAGGTGGGGGAATTCCAACTTCGCAAGGACAAATTTCTGACGAAATCTCTTGAAATCTCTTTCTCTAATCGGACTGGAACGCTTTCTGGCCTTTTTCTTCTGCCGAAATAGAACGAACCTACAGATCGTGGTCTGTGTGCTCCAGAACCAGGGTCCCATTCAGAGAGCAGTGTAGGGGCGAGAGGCCACAGCAGTACTCCGACCTCAGGAAGCCCCTCTTGGTGGCGAACACGGTACCTGTCCCTGGGTCGTTTCCCTGCTTCGCCCGCTCCCTCGTTCCGGGTCTGGAGCTGCCCAATCCGCGGGCCACCTCCCGCCCGCCCAGCCCCAAGAGCCAGAGGACCCCGAGGACCCTGCCCATCCTTCCTGGAAGGAGAACACACTCAGCAGGGTCTTCCTCTCTAGCCTCCGGGTACGTTTGCAGCCCGCCCCGCCCTTCTCGGCAGGTTCCCTATTGGCTCTCGCGCCGGGAGAAGATGCCCTCTGATTGGCCGGCGAGCCGCTACCACTTCGGACGCGGCGCTCTCGGGGCGGGGCCTGCCATGGAGTGACTAGCGGCCCGGAGGAGCGTGGGGAGGACGCGTTCACCTGCGCTCTCAGGCTGGGCTAGTGTGTGCACCACCCGGGAAGGGTAGCCGGAGTGGGGGACCCAGGGGGTGGTGGGGCTGGGGTGCCGGGAGGGACCAGGTACAGAGGTAGGGAGGTGGGCTGGGGCGCGAAGCAGCAGCAGGGAGCACGGTGACATGGCGCGGCCAGACGCTGAGGAGGGGGCGACGGTGGCCCCCGGGCACCCGCTTGCGAAAGGATACCTTCCGGTCCCGAGGGACTCTGCGGCCGGGAAGGTGAGCGCGGAGCAGCAGAACGGGCCCAGAGCTGGCTCCCTGCTCCTGAATGGGGTCCCCAGAGACAACGCCGCTGCCCTCTCGGGAGCGCTTGGCGGGCCGCAGATTCTGCTGGCTCCGGAAGAGGAGACCCAGGCCCGACTGTTATCCACGGACGCGGGGGAGGAGACTCCGGGGGCCGAAGGGACACCGCTGCCCCAGACCGCGCTTTCCACGCGGCGCTTTGTGGTGCTGCTGATCTTCAGTCTGTACTCGCTGGTGAACGCCTTTCAGTGGATCCAGTACAGCATCATCAGCAATGTGTTCCAGGGCTTCTATGGCGTCTCTTTGCTGCACATTGACTGGCTGTCCATGGTTTACATGCTGGCCTACGTGCCCCTCATATTCCCAGCCACCTGGCTGTTGGACACCAAAGGCCTGCGACTCACCGCCCTACTGGGCTCTGGCCTCAACTGCCTGGGTGCCTGGATCAAGTGCGGCAGTGTGCAGCAGCATCTCTTCTGGGTCACCATGTTGGGCCAGTGCCTATGCTCCGTGGCCCAGGTGTTCATCCTGGGCTTGCCCTCCCACATCGCCTCAGTTTGGTTTGGGCCCAAAGAGGTGTCCACGGCTTGCGCCACCGCCGTGCTGGGCAATCAGGTAAGGACCTGAGTGAAAGAGAAAAGTCGGATCCTTGGAGGACCAGAAAAAGCCATAGTCCATGTGAGCTAGGCATATAAATGGACCTCGGGAGACATTTGTCTATGAAATGAAGATGAGGAGATGAATAGTTGTAAAATAAGAGGCAGTCTTGTATTAAAGAGGGCTTTTTAGGCTCTTTGTAAGGACAGAACTTTCAAAATCAGCTTACAGTGACTACCTTGTCGTCTTGCTTTGAAAATTATTTATATTGGCCTGTATGTGCTTAATGTCATAGAAAACTTGCAGGGCATTAATGAAGTAAACTTGCATAGGTGTTATGTTTGTCACCAGTGTGTTCTTTGCAAAAGGGAGGTGGTGGATTCTGGGAAGTTTGTTTTCATTTAGAGTGGTCATTGTGAACACTATTTAATTTTATATATTAGTAGTCAGCACAGAGCTATGTATTAATGACTCCTAAATCAATGTTCTGGTGATAAAGATTTCAAGGCATTACTGAGTCCAATTACTTACTTTTAACAATAAGACTATGCAAGACAAATCACCGATTGTGGAAAACATTGCAGAAAGAATGGCTTTTTTGCTAAGTCTCCAGATTGTAATGCCATTAGCATTTCAGAAGCATTGTTAGGTAGAATGATTTTTGTGTGTGTTTTTAAAAACTGCGGACTGATTCTCATTATTTAAATTATGCGTATGGGATCCTATGATACTTTATGTAAACTATATTGAGTGTTCATTCAGCTTGAGAATATCTAGTTTAAAACTGGTACACCAAAACCTCCACATTTCTATACTTATATTGCCATATGTAACTATGTAACACAAGAATGTTACTTTCTCACTTCAAATCTCACACTTGTTTCAAGATCACAGGAATATTTATTTAAAATACACAAAGACTGACTCTACATGCTGGTTGCTTTATTTCCTTTTTCTACAAGTGCAGAAGAAAGAGTAGCTTGAAACATATTTGTGTATTCAAAATAATTTATGACTGACACTTCACTTGGTTGCTTCTGCATATTTCAATGGGAGCCGTTTTCTTAAATTATTTTACATTTAAAAATTATATTCAAGATTAATTCTTCATTGAGCATGATAAAAATATCAGCTCCATTTACTTATAGGCAGACTTCCTTTTAACCACACACTTGTGGATCATCTTCCTACTCTTCCTTGTGTTCTCATTCCTTCCTTGGCTCCAATAGTTGTACCGTTGCTCATTATTCCCAAGTATGCACTTTCAGCCTAGTTTTATTCATACTCAGCATTGTTGAGCACTCACTAAGAGGCTGGCAACACACTAAGTGTTTCACATGCATTATGTCATTTAATTTAATACTATAAGATTGGAACTGTTAGACTTCTCATTTGATAGGTAATAGAAACTGAGACTTGAAGTAATGAAATTATTTTGTAATGGTCACATAGCTAGTTAGTGGTGTGTGACCACACTCAAGTCTGTCTAGTTCTTGAATTCCTAGCTTTTAATTTCTGCATCTGTACTGCAAGTCTCTAACTAGAAGACCCTTTTAAAACATAGATCAAATTATGTCGTTGCCCTGCTTTGAACTTGCCAATGATTTCCCATAGTACATAAAATGTAAACTCTACTCTAAATGACAAAAACTAAAAAACAAAAACCCCACCAACTTACATATATGTTTTCTTTGGTTCCTTAAACAGCGCTAAGCTTGTACTTGGTTAAGGGTCTTTGCAGAAGCATTCCCTTTGCCTAGAATGTTCTTCATTTTAGGATCATGTGATTATATTCTTAGTGTCACTCAGCTCTCTGTTTAAATTCATTCTAAATATCCAGTGGCATTTCTCAATCCCATTTAGAGTTGCTCAGTCAATTTTATATATCATTATATTGTAATTCTTCATGTTACATTTATCACTCTCATATTTATTATTTATGTATTTATATACATACATGTTCATTGTTGTCTATTATCCATCTCCTTTCCCCTTGATTATAATGTAGATTTCATGATAAGCTACATGGTGTGAATACACACAGCTCTATCACTACACTACTATATCATTATCATTACTGTATTTATTATAGCACCTGGCTTGTTGTAGGCTCTCCCTGAAAATATGATGAGTGCATGAAGGAACTTCAGACTCATTGCCACTGGAGTATTGCCATATCTCCTAGGAACCCACCACTCAAAATTAGCCTTATCTTGTAGTTCATTTCTTTTCACCTCTATTGCTTAGTTTGGCCACCCATGGAGCTTACCTAGACCATACTAACTGATCTCCTTATCTGCAGCTCTTGCTGCCTTCCCTCTGTGCTTCACAGTTTTCCTGCTCTCTAATGTGCCAGATCTGTTCAGAGCACTCCTTTGGCCCCTGCAGTGGCTTCCATTGTCCTTAAGATAAAACAAGACCTCTCTAATGTGACTTGCAAGATTTTCTAGATCTGCCTCCTACCAGCTCTTTATCTCACTCCATGCCCCCCTCCCCTTTTCCGCATACACAGTCTTTCTCTGTTTTGAGCCAGACCGTGCATACTGACAATTTCTTACAAGGTCATGTTGTCCCCTTCCTGGCCTTTGTACATAATGCACTTTGGCTTAGAACACTACTTCTTGTTCATTTGTCTAGCTCTAACTTCTTTCAGCCCTTTGTTTCTCCAAAAACTTTTCTTAAACTCAAGTCTGTACAAGGTGCTCCTACAAAATATTCTACTACCTAGAATGAGCACATGTCTCAGTTTACCTGGCTTAGTCTGGGTGTACATCTGTTGCTTAGTATAATTACTATTGAAGTTTGTTTTACTCTGAACAGTGCTCTGATTTGGGTAATAAATTACACAGTCTCCCCAGTCTTAGAACTCTCTAATTCTCCATCACAGTACTGTATTACCACAATCTGTTAGAATATCTTTTTGATTGTCTCTATTCAGCTTTTTGGAAAGAAGCAAGTGAAATATTTGTTAAACATTATTCTTCCTACCTCAGCCTTGAAACATTTCTTGGGCCCTTCCCAATGTCCAATACCACGAAGTAGTCACTCCCCTCCCTCCTTCCTTCTATTCCCTAGTAATTACTAAACTGCTTTCTCTCCATATGTATTTACCTAGTCTGAATGTTTCATACAAACAGAATTATACAACAAATGGCCCCATTTGTATCTGACTTCTTTCGCTTATCATGTTTTCAAAGTTAATGCATGTTATAGCACTGTATTAGTACATCATTCCTTTTTGTAACTGAATAATATTGCATATACCACAGTTTATTTATCTACTCATTCATTGATAAACATTTCAGTTATTGCCATATTTTGGATATTGTGAATTATGACTACTATGAACATTTATATATAATTATTTATTTGAATACCTATTTTCAGTTTTGGGGGTATATACCTAGGCATAGATTGCTGTTTCATAGGGTAATTTTATCCACAATGGCTATATCATTTTATACTTCCACCAGCAGTATAGGAGGGTTTTAATCTCTCCATATTCTTGCCAACCCTTGTTATTTTATTGTTATAGCCCTTCTAGGGGTGTGATGTGGAATCTCATTGTGGTTTTGATTTTCTTGTCCCTAAAGACTAAAGATATAGGCATTTTTTAATATGCTTATTGGCCATTTGCATATATTTAGGAAAATCTCTATTCAAGTCCTTTGCTTATTTTAAAACTAGAACATTTGTCTTTTTGTTCTTTAGTTGTAAGAGTTCTTTATTTTGGATGCTAGTCTCTTGATTCTTTCTCATTCTGTGGGTTGTTTTTTCTTAATCCTGTTTTTACATATTCTTACTCCCCTTCATGTTTGTAAGCACGAAAGGGTAAGGACTATATCTTATGTAACTTTATAGCAGAATCACTCAGAGTAGAAACTCATTATATGTTTTTTGAATAGTAAAGAGATTTGTTGGAAATTTTCCTTCAACAATAATACAAGGACATTAGAACATAGTTTTAGAATTTATAGTATACCTTTATAAATATTAGCTCTTCTGTATGTTCTGTTAAATGGCAGTATTTACCTTTTTCTCTAATGATATGAGCTGTTAACAGGACTATTCATTTTACAGCTTGGAACCGCAGTTGGCTTTTTACTACCACCTGTTTTAGTGCCCAACACACAGAATAACACAGATCTCCTGGCTCATAATATAAGCATCATGTTTTATGGAACATCAGGTGTTGCCACACTTTTATTTATTTTAACAGCAATTGGTAAGTGAATTATTTTCCTTAAAGATTAGATAAATGCATGACAAAAATATGAGAATAACTAACTCTGAAAATTTTTGTTGATACAGTCACAAATGCCATTTGCTTGTTTTATTCTAGCTGTGTACTATGCTCAGATAATGATGGTACAACCCTAGGGTCCACTACATGGTATTTTACTATCGTAAAAGGTTTGATGACTAATCCATCTCATTTATCTCCCTACTAACTTTTCTTTCTGATAATTTCAAATATATTACTTGCTTCCTTCCCATATTTGTCTACATGGTCTGCTTCTTATGCCTACCTAGCCAGGAACAAGTTTTTGTCATGCTTTGAATTGAGTCAAGTAGGCTACCATCTTTCTTTTAATGATAAGTCCTCCCAAGGATCCCCAATTTTAAAATTAACTGGATCTAAAATGTTGACCAGTGAATGATCCTGGGCAGCAGCAAGCCGTTCAACGGAATTTCAAACTGTGGCGACTATCTGCTTGTTAGGCCACTCCAGCAAAGCACGGCTGCCACCATTCGTCACTGAGTACTCTCGCCTGGGCCTGTCTCTTGAAGCAGTCAGTCAAAAGTCAGCTGCAAGCAGCCATCACCAGTTTGGAAGAAGCTTTGGGAAGGTCTGCTTTTTAAAGTTTATTTTTAATGGGAAGCAATTTTAATTTCAGAGAAAAAAGGTAGTGAGGTATATGTAAGTAATAGAGCTGCTAACATAACTATAATAGTGCCCCTTGGCACTCTATCTTAAATGGAATTGGGGAAGAAAAGAACTATAAAGTTGAAAAGCCCCCTTTTCATCATTGAAATGTATAATTAAATATAATTATAGGCAGAAGTTTTAGATCTATATATTAACTTATAGCATGCCCATAATAGTAATGAAAAATTCATATTTTATGATCTCCAGATGTGAAATCCTCAGTTTTCAGAGAAATGTATGCTGAAGACTCTAGAGTGTTCCATAGAGACTGTCTTGGTAGATGAACTGCAGGATCCAGGTATAGGAAGCTCAGCCCACATGCTTAATTTCTTTTTTTTAAGATGATGAACAAAATGTTCTGTTGGTAGCATAATAAGTATTCTGACATGTCCGATCTGCTTGAGGTTGGTTTTTATATTTTCAGTTAATCAGAGAGTGGCATATTTGCAGTGTGCTGATTATTGAAAAAAAGACAAATTATCCCTATTCTATTTTAGCACTTAACATGGTTTCTAAAACATTTTAGAAGTAAAAACTCTCTTAAATTTGCTTTTTTAAAAAATATTTTTTAGTTGTTTATGGACCTTTATTTTATTTATTTGTATGTGATGCTGAGAATCGAACCCAGTGCCTCACGCATGCTAGGCAAGCACTCTACCACTGAGCCACAACCCTAGCCCCTAAATTTGCTTTATCTGGTAGCCATATTTGATTTGCTAGTTGGAATAGGAAATATTGTTTTTACATGTTTCATTAATAATAGATATTTTTAAGGCATAAAATTCTCATTCCATTGAGGGGCTTGTGTAAAAGAACATAAATTCCAGTTTTCCTTTTTATATCATTTTCAGTTAGTTTTCTATTTGGAAGAGCGTAGTAAACTACATATCAGATATCCAAAAATATGAAATTATTATATATATGATATGTTTGCATATATGCTTACATTGATACAATATAAGATTTTATCTAAGGAAGAACAATCATAATAGGTATAACCATCGGCATATTACTCTGTTTTGTTTTCCTCGTGTCCAAATTTTTGCTCAAGGCTCCTGAATTACTAAGATATGACCCTCCTTCCCTCTGAATTCTACTCATGATTATTTTGAAAATCCAACCAATATGGTGTACTGAATTGGTATTCAGCAGTCTTCCTAAAATACTGTCTTGAAAGTTCAGGCCATGGAACCCTATTCCCCTCCCTCATGGAGCATATGTGTGAATGTAGTTCATCCAGCATTTCCACTGAATTTCATGCTGGAAGAACCCCACTGTAGCCTCTCACATTTGGTTGCTGATGTGTGCTAATCATCCCTTTGAGGAAGGTCCTGTTACCATCACTCCCATTTTACATATAGATGAGGAAACTGGGTCATGTAACTTGATATAACTTTAAGTTGCCCAAGTTCACAATTAATAAAGTCAGGTTTAAGCCTAGATAGTCTAACTCCATATATAAAATGTTATATACAAAATAGATCATTTTAATTTTACTTTGCCTCATTTTATTTCTAATTTAAATTCCTCTTGTATAAGTGGTAATGTTGTTGTATTTAAAGTCTGTAGAGCAATAAATTTACCATTTAGCCCAAATGTGTCAATTAAAATATTTTCCTGATTCACTACTGTAAGTGGATGACAGAAACCAAAAGTAATGCTAATAAAAACATTTAATACTAATGTATTTAAACACAAGTGTATATAGCATGTAGGCATTTTACTTGTGATTTGTGTGTGTGTGTGTGTGTGGTAGTGGGGATTGAACCCAGGGCCTTCTGCATGTAGACAAGCACTCTACCAACTGAGCTATATCCCCAGCTCTTACTTTTGATTTTTCCATTAAAGATATGCTTGGACTAGGGTTGTAGCTCAGTGGTAGAGTGCTTGCCCGTCATGTGTAAGGCACTGGGTTCAATCCTCAGTACCACATAAATAAATAAGTAAATAAGTAAGTAAATAAATAAATAAAGGTATCCTATCCATCTACAACTAAAATAATAATAATTATTACAATGATTGTAATTATAATAATTTTTAAAAAGATACCCATATGTAAGCTATAAACTTTTAACAAATACATTTTATTTAGTCTATAAGAATTTCAAGCCACTAAGGCAAAGGCTCTGATTTTGTAAAATAATGTTTCTAAAAGGACAATATATTTTATATTTTAATAATTGCAAAATTCTTTTAGATATGTCATATCATGTGATCCTTTAGAGCTTATTATTGTTAATTCTGTTTTATGAAGGAGAAAGCAGTAACTGAGGGCTGGGGATGTAGCTTAGTGACACAGAGCTTTCTTAGCATGCATTAGGTCCTATGTTCAATCCCCAGCATTGGAGAAAAAAGAAAAGAAAGAAAGAAAATAGCAGTTCAGTATAAACAAGGTCATACACCATTGGCTTTTTGTTCACCTTTTTTTCATGTAAACTTAAGTCTGACTTTACTATAGGGTGTAGTTTTTAAATACAGACTAGATTTTGCTAAGAGAGTTTATCTGAACTAAATGATAACACTTATATTCAGGAAATAAATCTAGTGGAGTTAAAGACTGGTGAAAAATTGTATTCACCTCTGCGCGAAATTTGACTTCAGATTTGGAACATTTAGACTTCTTTTTATCATAGTGAGTAAAAACCTAAGTAATAGACTTAAAACACATTAAATAACCTGCTACCTTGTAAGCAAAGTTTTACAGTCTGAAATTTTTACAACTGTGAATATTCTGTACTAACATTGTTAATAAACAGATATCTCCTATCTAACTAAGACACAAAAAGACTTTCGGGAAAAGATGCCAAACATCCTAACAGATCAAGGATTGGATAGGGTAAAAGGAGGAAGAAGAATTGCAACAACTTAAACATTTTAATCTCCTAGTCTTTCCAAGTAAGGATGTTAAGTAGTAAATATTTATGAGCTATATCTCTTCTTGAATTAGTTGTGATATCTGTAAAAAATAGATATTTCAGTTTGATACATTTTGATTATATCATAATTAATGTTTTGACCAGCAAAAAAACTTAATTTTTTGTTTTTTAGCAGCAAAAAGGAGAATTGGAGAATTGCAGTATTTTGCAGAAGTTATAAGGGATATTTTTTCCTTTCTTAGTGATTCTCAAACCCAGATGGCTATACTGATAGCATTTGGGGAGTTTTTTTGTTTACTATAGATTTTATCATGGAGGTTCTCATTATTGAACTTGGATAGAATCTCAAAATATATATTGTTTTAAAATGGTTCCAGTTGACAGGTTCATCAGTTCTGCCCCACTTAGAATAGGTCTTCCTTGTTGGAAGAAAGAAATTGTCACAAAAGAACAGGAGGGAGGGAGAAAGAGAAAGAAAAGCAGAAATTAGAAATTTTCACTAGAGGAAAAGAGGGAGAAAAAAGAAAAGCAGAAATTGTAATCTTCCAGAAATGTTACTTTTTTTCTGAATCAACTTACCTTCTTTTTTCTCTTTGAATTCACTTTATTTGATTAAATGCTAAGGTGTATGTTTTCATGAAATCTCTGAAGTCGAGGTGCCTTTACTGATCAATGATGTCTAACATTTGTGGTAATGGAGACAAGGTTGTGTGAAAACCTTGTGATAACCTGGCAAGGTCACTGAGTGCAAGCATCTTAGATTTAATGATACAGACTTTTCCTTCTGTTGTAGTTAAATTTTTTTAGTGAATAGCTTAAAATTTTGAGGGACTAAAAAGAGTAGATTTTAATTTCTGACATACCAAATTTTAAAATGCAGATCAACTCTTTTGTCACTTAGTCATGACTTCTGGTTAGCCTGTTAGTTTTCTATTGCTATAACAAAATACTTTAGGTAATTAACTTATAAAAAGAAAAAGATTATTTTGACTCATAGTTTTGGAGGTTCTAGTCCATGATTGGGCAGACCCATTGCTTTAGGTCTTTGATGGGCTTGCTGGGTGGCCATGGCACAGAGAGCGTGATGGAGCAGATGGCTCACATGAGTCAAGAAACGAAAGAGAGAGAAAAGGGTTGGGGTCCCACCATCCCCTTCCAGGGCATGCCCCTGGTAACCTAAAGGCCCCCCACCAGGCCCCATTTCTGAAAGGTTCCACCTGGAGAATCTTTAGCTTCCCCAGGGACCAAGCCTTTAACACGTGAACCTTTAAAGGACACTTATCCACACCATACCACTAACCCTACAGAAATCTCTCCCTAGCCATCTATTGTGGGAAATTGGTAGATCCTTCCCTGCCTAGCCAAAGGAGGTCTTTAGATTTCTGGCTAAGAATGCTGTGAGGTCTCTAACTAGAAACACTACTAAAACTGTAGAGCATCAGACACCATATGCCACACTTTCCTGTCTGTTATTTCTACCCCTAGATTTTCCATGTGCCACTCAAGTAAGTGAGCAAGAAATACAGCCTGCTCCCATGAAATCACCTGGACTTCCTCAGTTCCAGATGTGTCCTTGAATCAGATGATAAACTTTGCATCAAACTCAAGACAGTCCTCTCAATGTACGACTTGTTCATACCCGAGACTTACCTCTAATTACAAATTGAACTAAATTTAAAAATAGAGTCCTTGATATAGTAAAAATTAATTTTGATCAACTAAAACGAAATAATCAGTGGGCAAGACGGTGACATATTAATGATGGTTTTGTAGCTCAGATAAGTGAACTGGCCAAATCTCTTGAGTTTTGGTCAGTTTCAGAGGGCTGAGACAATAATACCAAACTGATTTGCACTTAGAAGTCACTGAAAATGAAAAACCTCACCATAAAAGACATTCACTACTTACTTAAACTGATTCTGTCTGCTCACTAAGAGAGATATAAATAATTATGTATTTTTACCCGGGCAATTTATTACACGTATGTTAATTACATATAATCCTTCTCATGTTCATTCCCAGCATTCAAAGAAAAACCTCCATACCCACCAAGTCAGGCTCAGGCAGCTCTTCAAGACAGTCTCCCTGAAGAGTACTCTTACAAGAAATCAATAAGAAACCTGTTTAAAAATATTCCTTTTGTCCTTCTGTTGATCAGTTATGGTAAGTGGCTTTCTTATATTTTCTATGATGTCTGTGTAAACCTTTGAGCACTGTGAATTCTTTTTATTTAACCTGGTGGTTTAACCTTAATGAAATTGGTTAGTGAACTCCATAGCATAATCACGGACTTAAATGATAAACTGAAAGCAAAAGAATCCACGGTGGATCATTTTACATGATTTCAAAATAAATAGATCTCAAAGAGAGAAGTGTTGTTTTCTTGTGAGTTCTCCTAGAGTGCAGGTCATTGATGAACTGTAGTTATGACCACATGCAATAAGCATGTGGGAAGTGCTGTCAATGGCTCCTTTCTTACACCCTGTGCAAACTGGCACTTATTTTTTAACTGTTCTGTCAAAACTAGACATTAAGAAAATCATATTACAGTTCTAACTGAAAAACAATTCTGGCTGGGCGCAGTGGCAACTTGGGAGGCTGAGGCAGGAGGATCGTGAGTTCAAAGCCAGTCTTAGCAGATTAGCAAGGCACTTAGCAACTCAGTGAGACCCTGTCTCTAAATAAAATATAAAAAAGAGCTGGGGCTCAGTGGTTAAGCACCTGGGGTTCAATTAAAATTCTGGTTCTTCTAAAATTTTCAAGTTAGCTGACAGTTACTTATCCTACACTGTAGCTTTGACTGCAGATACCAACACTGGTTGTTTTCAGACAGTTTGGTTTTTTGTTTGTTTCTTACATAAACACTATCCACATTGTATACTAACACTCCCTGATTTGTGTTTTTCTTGCCTTTGGAAGTTACTTGCTACTTCTCTTTTTTTGTGGCCTGATTTGAACTCTCACCCTTTCAACAGGATTAGTTCCTCAGTTTTTAGTGGAAATTGCTAATCATGAAAGAATGAGATATTTAATCTAAAGAACTCCATGTACCCATCACTATGTAGGCTGTCACCCAGCTTCAACAGTTACCAACATCTTGTCATTCTTAATTTATATACTTCCTCTATTTTTTCCTAGAATTATCTCATATATATATATATATATATATATATATATATATATATATATATATATATATATATATTTGTTTTTTTTTAGCACTCAGCCACATCCCCAGCCCTTTTTATTTTTTGAGATGGTGTCTCACTGAGTTGCTTAGAAATTTGTTAAGTTGCTGAGGTTCACTGTGAACTTGTGATCTTCCTGCCTCAGCCTCCTGCTGGGATTACAGGTGTGTGCACCACATCTGGCTTCCTAGAATATGTTAAAAGGGAATTTCAGAACTGTCATATCATCTCATCTTTAAATACTTTAGCATGTCATAATTCCTTTCCTTAATTTTACAGGAAATCTCCCTTTGTAGTTAAACCTAAAATTTTAAAGAAGGAGGTAGAGAAATACAGTGGCTCAATACTATTAGAGCAAATTTATTTCTTAAGGCTGTCATTTAAGAGAACTTTTTTAATACAAATTTATATTGTTTTCCAATACAAAATTTGTTTTTCAGACAAACTTAAGACCAACTCTAATACAGACATAAACACAGAATTTCTCCACATGTATGTACACTCTTCATTCCAATCTCTTCATTTTGTGCCATTATTTCCTTTACCTGAAATGTGCTCCTACAACACCTACCTTAATGTGTACTTCACTTATTGTTCATGTTGTTATTCATTTGTAATTTATTTCATCAAAAGCTATAAATACCAACTAAATGTATAACAGTGCTCTAAATGCTTTGTGGGCTAGAATGAAGCATGGTATAATTTCTGCCCATAAGTAATTTATCATTAGTTGTCATGACCATTTATTGTTATCTCCCAAGTGGGGAAGATATTTTAAACACCTGAAAAGTAAATAACAATGTAGGAGGGATTTATAAAAAAATAATAGTAATATGAGAGGTTGCCTGGTGAGTGCATGCTACAGGCCTTCCTGGTTAGGAAAGGGTGAATGAAGGAAGGGCTGTGGGTGGCCGGGAGGGCCATGTGAAGAACATGGGGATAGAGTACATTGCGCAGACAAAGGGGAAAAGGAAATGGTGTGAGCCAGGGCCTGAGATGGTACCGTCTCTGAGTACCATCTGACTTCTGTGGAGTATTGATCTCTTTAGGATCATATCACTTGGTACCTAACATGATTGTACACAAGTGGTTATTAAAATTATGTTTAAGGGAGCTGGAGTTGTGGCTCAGTGGTAAAGCTCTTGCCTGACATGTGTGAGGTCCTGGGCTCCGTCCTCGGTACTGCATACAAATAAACAAAAATAAATAAATAAATAAATAAAATAAAAGATCCATTGGCAACTAAAAAAAATATTTTTAAAAAATTATGTTTAAAATCTGTTAAGGTGTGGGGCTGGGGTTTTGTCTTAGTGGCAGTGCACTTGCCTGGCATGTGTGAGGCACTGGGTTCCATTCTCAGCACTGCATATAAATAAATAAAATAAAGGTCTATCGACAACTAAAAAAAATCTTTTAAAAAAACGTATAAAGGGCTTTCATATGTATTTAATTCTTCAAGTAACTATTTTTGAGAAATCAAAAATCAAGAAGACTTGATTTCTTTTTTCTTAATTTTAAGTTTTATTTATTTATACAAACAGATAATACATGCATATAGTATCAAATTCATAAGGTACTATGGTGCACAATGGAAAGTTAGTGTCCCCCATCTCTTTTCCTGGGTCACCCACTTTCCCTCCCAAAGGCAATTACTGTTATCATCTTCAACTTGTAAGGCTATTGTAACCTTTATAATCAAAATCAGATAAGGATTGTATAAGGGGGAAATTATTAGTTAATTTCACTTATGAATGTAGATAGTGAAAAAACCAACTAAAATACTAGGAAACTAATTTATAAAAATAATAATACATCCCGACCACATTTGGCTTATCTCAGGAATGAGAAATGTTTTAGTAGTCTTATAATATATTCATATAATTTACTACAGTAATGGATCAAAGAGAAAAATTAACCCGATTGCTGAGTGAAAGCATGTGATAAAATTAATTACCCATTGATCAAAGACTTGTAGCAAACTGAATACAAATGAACTTTCTGAACCAGATATATCAGGTTTATCTACAAAACCCCAACAGCACACATCATATTAAAGGCAAAACCTTAGAACCATTCTATTTAAGAATCAATAAGAATATCAAGAACTATGTAATGTTTTGAACAACCAACAATAAAAATTAAAAAAAAAAAAGAATCAATAAGAAGCATCCCTTAGATAAAATACCTACTGTCACTTTCTATTCAGCATCCAACTGGGAGTTCTGGCTGTCTCAGAAACATAGGAAAAAGAAAGAAACAATATAAGAAACAGAAATAAAGAAGTTATTGTTTGTAGGTAACATGATTATGTATATCAGCAGTCAGAAAACAATGGCCCTGAGCCAATTCTATCTGTTGCCTGTTTTTATAAAAACAGTTATTGCACAGTGTCTTTAGCTATTTCTGGGTTCCAAGAGCTAGTTGAGTAGTTGCGTCAGAGACAACATGGCCTGCAAAATTAAAAATATTTACAATCTATTCCTTTACAGAAAATTTGCTGATCCCTCATCCATTAAAATAATGCAGAAGAACCTAGAGACAACTATTAAGCTAATGAATCATTGAGATTACTAGATAGATAACTAGTAATCGACAGATAACTAGATAATTCGAAAACATTCATTGCATTTCTCTTTATATCAGCAACAAAAATATATTTTGAAATAAATAACCAAAAGAACTTTATAAAGAAAATTATAAAACATTGCAAGGCATAAAAGAAGACCTAAATGAAGGAATATACCTTTATGTACAGAGAGAACTCAAATTGATAATGACGCCAGTTTATGATGCAGGATCACAGTATTGATGAAAGGGCCAGACACAGAGACTGCTTGGGAAGCTAATTTGGGTTTACTCTATTGAAGAAATATAAGGAGCAAAGAGTTAGGAAATATGGTGAGGAGCGCAACGTCTCAATCACAGTTGGAGAAATTTCTTCGCCCACTAAACAGACACAAGTTAAGGATCATAATGTTGAGTGAAGATCAGGTCACATCTTTTGGATGAATACTTGTCACCTCCACGCCTTGTGTTACACATAAGATTGGAGCAGTCTTGCACATGGAATAGTCTGGATAAGGAATAGCACTTCTAGGAGAAATTTTTAGAATTGTATATATAGTGTCAAAGACTCAGCAACCAAATGAACTTAGGAAAGCATTTTTGAGGTATGCTTTATTACTATCCCAAATATTGCCGTCTGTTACATGAAACACAGATATACCATACTCTAGATTCAGATAACAGCATCCCTTGCTATTAGTATTCTTATAATATATTCATATAATTTACCACAGTAAAAATTAATCCTATTGCTGAGTGAAAGCATGTGATAAAATTAATTACCCATTGATCAAAGACTTGTAGCAAACTGTGAATAAAAATGAACTTTCTGAACCGGATATATCAGGTTTATCCACAAACCCCAACAGCAGACATCACACTAAAGGCAGAACCTTAGTACCATTCCATTTAAAAATCAGTAAGAAGCATCCCTTAGATAAGATACCTACTTTGTAAATTTATTTATTTGTTCTAATCGGAAGTCTTTGTCTAAACACTTGCTGTCCTTATTCAGATCTGGAATAGATAAGATCACCCTTGGGTGCAGTGCAGTAGAATACACTCAGCCCTGAGCATAGACCTCATTTTATCCTCTGCTTTCCCAGGCAAATCCAGTCTGGCCAAGGGGCAACCTTGGACTCAATGGGAAGCTGAGTAACAAAGACCAGTTACCCAGGTGTTTGTGTTCAGTTTTGCTAACAGGTTTTTAGACCAGCTGTAGGCTTTATCCTGTAATCTTATTTAAATAGGGATTATAATAGAACGAAACTTATTCTAAAATTCCTATGAGAGAAGTAAGGATCAAGAGCAACAAAGATAATTTTAAAATTATTAAAGATAATTTTAGCAAAGAACAAGATGAGGGACTCATTCTTAGCTACCAAGATTTATAAAGCTATGATAATTAAGATGTCATGAATAGCAACAGATAGATGGTTAGATCACTGGAAGAACAGAGAGGCCCATGGTCTACTCCTATCTTGATGGAGGCTAAGTTATATTACCTCAATGAAACCCTTGCAAAAAATATTTAGTGGCCTGTCAAATTAAAGTTTATTCCTTGGCGTGCTCCATGTTCAATGTGAATTAGCAGCAAGGTTTTGCTCATGAAAGTGACTCGGATTCAGTCTGACATCTCCCTACCTGCTTCCACAGCTAGTTGGGTGGAAAACAGAGTGTTAGTTTTGCTCATATTTGAAGTCACGTGGCCACTCCTGGAATAAATAAAACGAGAATATTTGCAAATAATTAATGACTAGCACATCATACATATATAAAAACTTGATGTTTGACAGAAATTATTTCATCATTTGTCCTAAGATAATTGATTATCTCAATCAAGGTTGAGCATCACATACAATAGCATACACATACATAATGCCATCTGGTTTTCTTGGAATTGTTTTTTTCTTTTTTTTTTTAAAGAGAGAGAGAGAGAATTTTTTAATATTTATTTTTTAGTTTTCGGTGGACACAACATCTTTATTTTATTTTTTTTAATTTTTATGTGATGCTGAGGATCGAACCCAGCGCCCCGAACATGCCAGGCGAGCGCACTACCGCTTGAGCCACATCCCCAGCCCAGGGATTGTTTTTTTATGATTGGTTCATAGGAGTTATTTTTATAGCAGATACTACTCCTTTGTTCTCTTATCTTTTGAGAAAGATGAGAGATAGGATTGTGGAAAGTCTAAAAATTAATCTGAAGTACAGATGATGAAATGTTAATGTTCAACAAAACTAGGTCTTAAATAAGGATATTTGCTATAGAATTTTCTATACTCTTTATATTCCTGAAATATTTAATAATATATATGGAGAAATAATAAACTTAAACCTCAGTAACATTAAAATCTCAGCTTACCAACATTCATATAATACATTAAGATATATTAGGGTTTATACCTACTCATATGATTCCTGATAACCAGCTCTTTTTATATGTCTCTTTTTAAGTATTCTTTCATTAATATTGATTTGCGAATTGCCTTGTAAATATTTTGATACAGGAGTAAGATCTTTGAAGTAAGATCTTTTAACATTTATTGGCTATAGTGCATTGTAGATGCTAAGTAAATGATCCATTGCTTGTTTGGTTGCCATATACAGTGTTGTATGTGGGGATATGATTTATGGTCAGAATATCTGAATCTAAATAATAATAGTGCTATGACAGAATTTTGCTATCATATTCTATTAGTCCATTTTCTGTTGCTATAACAAAATACCTGAGGTTGGGTGCTTTGTAAAGAAAAAAATATTTATTAAACTCATAGTTTTGAAGGCTGAAAGTCCAAGAGCAGGTTATTCCTTTTGTTCTGAGGACTCCCTGACTGCATCACAATGTGGGAGAGAGGAGAATGGGAAATGGCCACATGTGAAAGGGGCCAAGAGATAGGATCAACTCACTTTTTAACAACCTTGTCTTGTGAGAGCTAATTCTCTACCATTATTAATCCCTTTCAAGGGTTTAATTAACCTAACCACCTTGCTCTAGGCCTCCCTCTTAAAGATCTCATCACCTCAATACCAGCATACTTGGGATAAACTTCCAAACCATAGCACTTCTCTCTAGTAAATTTAGGTGTTAAATTAATCAGTCCACATTCTGAAAGGGAATGGCAGTAGTTTGGAGATACATTATATTTTCACTGCTGTTACCTGGTATTCCGTCTTCATGAACTGGAAAATGATACATTTATAATTTTTTTTCATGTAGGAATCATGACTGGAGCATTTTATTCAGTCTCAACATTATTAAATCAAATGATATTGACACATTACGAGGTAAGCTTCTGCTTTCATCTTATTGCATGTCTGGCCAAGAATTTTTCTTCAGCCGTCTGATCATAAGTTCAAGAATTAACACTTTGTTACTGTAGAAGATTTACATTTGTTTTAACTGAGAATACATTTGTTAAAAAAAAAAAGAAAAAGAAAATTTTAAGGGTCTAGTTGAATGAAGCAGCATCCTATCTGAAGATCTAGAAAGGCCCTCAAGCTGAGCGGAGGAGGTGAAAGGACTGAAGAAAGGAGAAAAAAGGGACAAAACAGGATTGGTCATTTGGGGGGTACCTGGGATCAAACCCAGGGATGCTTAACCACTAGGTCACACCACCAGCCCTTTTTATTTTTTGAGACAGGGTCTCGCTAAGTTGCTGAGGCTAGCCTCAAACTTGCTGTCCTCCTGCCTCAGCCTCCTAAGCTGCTGGGATTACAGGTGTGAGCCACCGCACCCAGCTCTATAGTTACTTTACAGGGTTACAACAGCGGGAACGCAACTCCTGATTGGTTGCTGTGCATCTCTAGCCCATTTTAAAGTCAAGTTTGATTATGTGGCAGCTAGCAAGAATGACTCCATTCTGATTTTAGTTTAGTCTGGTCGGGTCTGTCTGGCCTAAAATAGGAGTTCAATCTGAAAACAGTGATCTCTTTATTTATTTATTTAGGTACCAGGTATTGAACTCAGAGGCGCTTAACCACTGAACCACATCCCCAGCCCTTTTTATGTTTTATTTTGAGACAACATCTCGCTAAGTTGCTTAGGGCCTCAATAAGATGCTGAGGCTGGCTTTGAGCTCACAGTCCTCCTACTTCAACTTCCCAAGTCACTAGTACATGGTGTGCACCACCATGCCCAGTGATCTCCCATAATTTTTATTAAACCTATTTAATCTGACTTATAAAGCATACAATGTTGGAAGCAGAAATTATTGTCACTGTGACCATACTTTACTAATGTTATTGGGTATATGGAAAAAGACAAGCTATTTTAAAGAGAAATCAACATAAACACGGAGAAGGAAATATTAAATTCTAACTGACCTCTCTGCTTTCCAAAGGAAAACACAGTTGTAGTCTGTAAAAGCTATTCCTTTTTAGATATGTAGAAATTACATAAGAATCCTAATAAAAATCATTGTGTTTCTAGCTATGGAGGGATAAGGAAATTTTTTTCTTTTTTATTCCCTCTCTTATTTTAGATATTTTTTCTGGTTTTAAAATATGATGCCCTCTATATATTTTTACAACCCACCCCCAAACTCTAACCCAGGTATTGAATCTTCCTTCTGTGTGCTTAATTTTATCTGATTGTTTCCATGGTCTATATAAAGGTATGGAATATGAAGGATATATCTGAATTAAAAATATTTGATTAGTTTCTTCTGCAAATTGTTTTCAGGGAGAAGAGGTGAATGCTGGAAGGATTGGGCTAACACTGGTAGTAGCTGGAATGGTGGGCTCCATTCTCTGTGGCTTGTGGCTGGATTATACCAAAACATACAAGTAAGTGAAAAATAGATGTGTATAAGTGTTGTTTTTTTCTGGGGTGGGGGTGGGTTATCGGGGATTGAACCCATTGGTGCTTTACCACTGAGACACATGCCCAGCCCATTTCTTAAATATTTTATTTAGAGACAGGGTCTCACTGTGTTGCTTAGGACCTTGCTAGGTTGTTGAGGCTGACTTTGAACTCGCCATCCTCCTTCCTCAGCCTCCCAAACCACTGGGACCCAAAGGTATTTTGATTTTGAAAGAAATTTTACTTTTTATCTTAAGGGATTTAAAGTGTTACTGTTACTTAAAGACCTGAATTCTAAACACTTGTAGATTCTTGTCACTTAGCAAATGTTTCAATAATCTATATATTTCTATATTTTATTGGTCACATTTATTTTATCTTTGAGAACGTGGATACCTGATGAACTTCTTTCAATTTAACAATATGTATATATTCTTTTTAGAAGGATTCTATCTAAAATAGGTCCTTTCTTTTATTTGTTCTTCTTAGTTTTACATGACAGTAGAGTGTATTTTGACATATTATACATGCATGGAGTATAACTTATCCTAATTAGGATCCTGTTCTTCTGGTTGTACATGATGTGGCGTTTCCCTGGTCATGTATTCTAATACAAGACTAGGAAAGTTACATTTGATGAATTCTACTGTCCTTCCTATTCTCCTTCCCCCACCCCTCCCTTTGTTTCCCGTTGTCTAATCCAATGGACTTCTATTCTGCCCCTGCCCACCCTTCCTTGTTGTGTGTTAGCATCCGCATATCAGAGAGAACATTGGGCTTCTGGTTTTTTGGGATTGGTTTACTTCACTTAGTATTATAGTCTCCAGTCTATCCATAAAATAGGTTCTTTCTAGAAACATTTGACTTTTGACAGACTTTATCTTGTTCTTTCTTATGTTACAGGTTTGAAAACAATCAAAAAGCTGTTCCATCAAAAACATTTGCCTTTTTTTAAAAATTTTTTTTTGTAGTTGTAGGTGGACGGCATTATTTTATTTGTTTATTTTTATGTGGTGCTGAGTATCTAACCCAGTGCCTCACATGGGAGAGGCAAGTGCTCTGCTACAGCCCCAGCCTCATTTGTCTTTTTTTGTGGTAAAAATTTTTGGCTAAGATGTTTCAAGCCATAGCACCACTTAACTATTATAAAATGCGTAATATAAAAATGCTGTTCATTTGCATCTATATGGAACAGCAAAATGCTAACATAAAAGAAAAAGTGAGAGACACTAATTGGGAAACCAAGAAAGGGTTTCAGAGGCAGCATCTTTTTCTGGAGGCCTTAAAAGAATTAATAGGCTAAACTGTCTCTTGTTTGCTTGGGAGGATGAATGAATGGACCTGTGAGTGAATAAATGAATAGAATGAAATAAACTGAATGAGTGAATTGGAACTGTGTCAGATATGCCTTTAAGGCCCGAGATATTTATACTATTATCCTAAACCCTTCCAAAAGTATCTTTGACTTTGACATTCTCCAAGATAATTCTCTCACAATTTAAAAATGCACTTATTATGGTTTCACTACTGTAAAATTATATCTTAGGGTAAGACTCATTTTTGTAGAGGAAGAGCTCATGTGTAAAGGGCTTCTTTCCTTTATAGTCGTTAGTCCACAGAATGTTTAGAAAACTTGGTAGGCATAGAAATGTGTTCTGGTCACCTTGACTTTCTTCTCAGGGTAACTCCCGTTCCTTCTCCCAACTCCTGGTGTGTGTATCCCTTTTGGCTAGAAATTACAGCAAGCGACATGTGATCCCTGTCCCTGAGACACTCGTCGTCTAAATGGCAGCTATAAGGCATCCACATATGAAACATTAAATGATAATATAATACACTAAAATTGATGTCATAAGTGCCGGTTGCGTGGGTATAATTGGTAAGGGGATTTAGAGGAGGGAATTTTGTGAGCTGCAGTGGTTAGGGAAGGCATTCGGAAGAGGTGAGATTTGATCTGAATCGTGAAATATGAGCGGGGAACTCTCCTGTTTGGTGGCATAAAAGTTATTTTGTCTATGTGAGTATCCCTTCCTATCTAAGCACTGGCTATGATGTGAGTGTTTTTTCCTGCTGTTGTTAAATCTTAAATTTAATCTTGAAAGCCCATGATTTGGTGGATAACATTTTCTGCAAATAAGAAGAATGGGTGAGTTTTTTTTTTTTTTTTTTTTTTTTTCCCTTTGGTACTGGGGATTGAACCTAGAGGTGCTTTACCACTGACCTACATCCCCAGCCCTGTTTATTTCTTATTTTGTGACAGAGTTTTTTACTAAGTTGCTTAGGGTCTTGCTAAATTGCTGAGGCTGTCCTTGAACTTTTAATCCTCCTGCCTCAGCCTCCCAAGTCACTGGGATTATAGGCATGTACCTGTGTACCTAGCTAGAATGAACAAATTTTGAAAAACAAAGATTTATTACTATTTAGATAGCGCAATGGCTAGCCACATGATTTTTATGTGCCTGTGATAATCAGAAAAAAAATACTAACAGTTTTGTTGTTTTGTTTTAGACAGACAACTTTGATAGTTTACATTTTGTCTTTTATCGGAATGGTTATATTTACTTTCACATTGGACCTTGGTTACATTATCATCGTGTTTGTTACTGGAGGGATACTTGGGTAAGTATCAAATATAATAAGACAAATGATACCATGTTATTATAATTCTGAAGTCTTATTACTCTGGCTTTTAATTTTTTAAAGGTCATCCCAAGCTTCTATAATATTTTAAAGTCTGGAAGATCCATCCACTGCTTACTGTGTATATAAATGTGAATTATAAAAAATAGTTGAAAATTGGTTTTTGTATATTGTTGGTAAAAAATGTATAATCCTTACCTAGTCCAAGTAACTTTAGGTATAAAGATCATTGGCCTAGAAAACTAGATGCAATTTTTTCTTAGAAACAAACCAGGAATTGCTTTGCTTCCCAATTCTTGTGAATTGGCTGGTTAATTAATAATAATAATAGTTTCTTACTTTCACATAGCAACCTCAAAATATTCACTTATAGAATGCTTACATCAGTGTGTGACATTGTCCTGGTACTTTTTCCCCCATAATTGTGGCTTTGTTTTCCTAGGTTTTTCATGACTGGTTACCTTCCCTTGGGTTTTGAATTTGCTGTTGAAATTACTTACCCTGAATCTGAGGGCACTTCGTCTGGTCTTCTCAATGCTGCTGCACAGGTGGGTATACCTCAGCTTTCTCTTACACCCTCGATGATTATTTTACCTAGTCATCTAGTGAATATTAAGTTTGACCATAGTTTTTCTTTTAACAATCTCATTTTTCAGTGACTATTTCTAGAAGCCAAACCATATGAAGAAGATGAGTTTTAAAAGTTCTGGGGGAAAAAAATATACTTTTTTTTTTTTTTCTTTTTTGGTGCTAGGGATTGAACCCAGGGCCTTGTGCATGCAAGGCAAGCACTCTACCAACTGAGCTAAATCCCCAGCCCCAAAATGTACACTTGAAAGAAGCAAACTTAATTATTTCTCTTATTTTATTTTAGGTGTTTGGGATTTTGTTCACCTTGGCTCAAGGAAAGCTCACAACAGACCATGGTCCTAAGGCAGGAAACATTTTCCTTTGTTTCTGGATGTTTTTAGGCATCATTTTAACAGGTACTTAGGGTGTTGTGTTGTGTTTTTAATTAAATTTTCATGTATATTGCTTCTTAAGGGCTTTGCAGAATTCAAGGGTTAAAAATGAGATAAGAAATCAGGAAATTATTTTCTTCTAAATATAAATGTATTAATTTGTTTTGCTGGGTGTGGTGGCGCATGACTGTCATTCCAGAAACTCTGAAGGCTGAGGCAGGAGGATCACAAGTTCTAGGTCAGCCTCAGTAACTTAGCGAGACTGTCTCAAAATAAAAAGGTAAAAAGGATTGGAGATGGGGCTCAGTGGTAAAATGCCCCTGGATTCAATCCCTACTCTAAAATGACAACAATAAAATCTGTTAATTTGTTTTAAATTTTTCAAAATCATTACAGTTACTGTTCACAGAAAACAAATCCATTTTAAGACGCATAGAGAAGACCTGGAGTTGAGTGAAACCTCCTTAGGCGTTACTTAACCTCTCCAAGTCTGTAGACAGGAAAACCAGCATCAGCTCAGACTCTCCTAATGAACATTCACAGCATAGGTCACTGCTGTGACCATAGGAGGGGGTCAGATTTCTTCCTACCAGCAACCAAGCAGTTCAGCAGTGAACAGCAGCTGGGAGTCCTCTGAGACCAGTTCTGACACTCTCTACCTGGGGAGAGCATAAGAGCTCACAGGTTGAGGGTTCAGTCCCCCGAACTCTCCCTACTTAAACCTCGTCACAGATCTGCTTTTCCAGAACCTTAGGACAGTCAGGGATCTCCACAACCCTCTCCTCAAATTCTACTAAGTTCCTAAGACAGCTCACAGGACTCAGAGAAACACTATACTTACATTTACTGAGTTAATGAAGCATACAAATAGGCAGCCAGATGAAGAGATATCACAGGGTAAGGTCTGGAAGGGTCCTGTGCACTGGAGCCTTTGTCCCCATGGAGGTAGTGTGCCACCCTCCTGGCTCATGAGTTCTTATTTGTCTTCCTGTGACTCTCCATATGAGCTTTCTGAAGCTCCCCAAATCCTGTACCTTGGGGGTTTTATAGAGCCTTTATTGTACAGCCATGATTGCTAATAGACTGGGTGGGGAAACCCAGCAAGGCCTGTCTGTTCAGATTCTTCTTGGCCTTTGTACAGCAGTCCTCTCTCTAGGGCACAGGACAGGAGCCCTCTGGAATGAGGAAGGTCAATGACTTATTATCAAGGGTAGGTCAGACTCAAAGTCAAAAAGGTGGGGAGATTAGGGTTTCTCTGATCCACCTTGGGGAAGAGAAATTCTAGTTTCTATGTCCTGCCTTGGAGAGGGAGTTGGGTATCAGAAACCATGGTAAACAAAACAAAACAATACATAGATAGAGATATGAATATATAGACATAGATTGCTAGATCCATCTCATAATATTACAACCTCTCAAGTCCCCCTTTTCTCATTCATATAGGAATAGAGTATTAAAAGCCTGCAGTGTAGGGTCACTGTAAGGATTAACTAAGGTGGTTCATGAGAAGCTCCCAGGATGGTGTCTGACACCTAGAGAATGCCTTATACATGTTATTGTAATGTAGTAGCAATGGTAAGAATCATGGAAGTTGTAGAAATGACATCGAATGGTTGGCTAGTTCTTTCAGTTTTTAGGTATAACCACATAGACATGTGCAGGAAAGAGAATAGTGTCCCATTTCCAGAGAAAGAGAATTTAAAGAACTTTTATCCATAGCTTGCCCGGGCACATAACAGATGTGACGGTGGCTTTGGAAGCAGACCTCATGTTCAGCAGTATTTCCAGGACCAGGTTGACTTTGACTGCTATTTCACTTTGTGAATTTCTTCCTGTATCCCTTTACCAAGACAAGAAACAGTGGCTAAGGATAGTCAAAAAATTACAAACAATTTGTTTGTAACTTAATTTGAGGATATAATCTCATGAATCAAAGTTTCTTTTTATGTTTGTTGGCATACCTGATCATTCTTTTTGAAAGCTTCAGTCTGAAGTCTTACCTGTGGTAAATATTTATTTTGAATATACACAACCATCTAAGATTACTATCATTCATGTGTGCTCAAAGAGCGTTTTCTCAAAGAAAAAACATTCCTATTACACAGTTTCCCCCCCTCCATTATCCCTTGTTATCTTCAGTTAATTAACATGAAATATCTGTTATAAGTAATTCCTTATTGGTTCTTAATTTCCAGGCAAGTACCATGCATCTATCAAATAGAGTGCATGAAAAATAATTTTGTACTCCCTTTGACATTTTTTTATTAGATTCATGAATGTTAATTCAAGCAAATCATGCCTGAAAAATTTCATGTAGAAATGACAAAACGTCTTTGAAATTAGTTTTACATTAAATGCCTTTACCATCTAACGTGCTAATTAATTTCTCTCATGTGTTGAGTATTTTAAAACTGGAGAGACCTTGATGGGCTTTCTAAAATACTGATACCAGTAATGAAGCAGGATGAAAAGGGACAATGTGGATTTCAAGGGAAACACGGACTTCCAGTTTCTAGCCTGACATGTGAGAAATTTGAAGGTTGCCTCTCTACACTAACAACAATTTAAAAACTGAACAAACTGAAAAATCACTCTCTTTTTGGATCCATTAAAAGAAGTGAAGTTATCATACAACCATTGCCTCCAATATTGGAGAGACCAACAGACAGAGAGAACTACGGTTTACTCAAATAGAACCCAGGAGCGGAAACCATTGCTGGGGTAGGAAACCAGAGCTGGGGTTGCTGAGGTGCTGGAGGCTCAGTGTGGACAACTCTGAGATCCTGTGGGAACCTACTCATGAGGCCCACAGGCTTTTGCAATTGTACTCCTGCTTCTGCAGGAAGAGAAAAGGAACCATATTTTGGAAAACACCTGGAGCATTCTACTCATAACAAGATATGCCCTCAGAAGGAACTGTTGTAATCTGCTGTGATTTATCATAGAATCTGACTGACCTGGGGAGAGGTAAATACCCAAATCCTGCCCACTCCAGCCTTCCCAATGGAAGAAGGAAAATATACAACTCTAGACCCCCTCCAGTCACCCTGTCCCACCTGGTGAGGGGAGGATTGAGCAACATTTGTGAAGTTCACAATCCAGAAGCACTGGCCTCATTATAGGAAAACATATGCTTCCCCTCCCCCGCACCTTACCACCACATTACTGTGGGTCTTTTACAGCCGCCCTTTTGAATCCAGTTTATCACGAATGACGATGAAGAAAAAAAATCAAAAGGCACTCCAAGGCAAAAAGCAACTTGAAGCCGTGTGCAGTGGTGCACGCCTATAATCCCAGTGGCTCCGGAGGCTGAGGCAGGAGAATTGAGGTTCAAAGCTCTCCTCAGCAATGGCAAGGCACTAAGCAACTCAGTGAGACCCTGTCTCTAAATAAAATACAAAATAGGTCTGGGGATATGGCTCAGTGGTCGAGTGCCCCTGAGTTTGATCCCTGCTACCCCCCCACCCCCCCAAAAAAAAGCAACTTGAAGAAACAGAGCAAGTACTGCCATACTCAAATACAGTGTGGATGTGGAATTAATCAGAGTGGGAGGTTACAACACGTCAGTGATATGCCACAGACCACAGTGGATGAAGTCGACAGCTTTCAAGAACAGGTGAGCATTATAAACGCAAAGGAGGACATTCTAAGAAACCAAAATATGCTAGAGATTGAAAACATGGTGACGGAGTGCAGAATGTCTCTGGAATTATCATAGACTGGATATAGCTAAAGAAAGAATTTCTGGATTTGAGAATATGTCAGTATACACCTTCAAAACTGAAAAGCAGAAAGACCAAAATAGATCTTTTATTGACTTCCTCCTTGAGGCTATGAATTGTTTTCCTGATTTTATTGAATTGTTTGTATTCTCTTGTCTCTGAGCTTCCTTCAGATCGTTCTTTTGAATTCCTTTTCAGATACTTGATGAATTACATTTTCTTTGAGGTTCATTATTAGAGAATATTAAGCATCCTTGAGGGTTTCACGTTTCCTTACTTTTCCATGTTTCTGTGTTTAAATCTCTGTCACCCTGTTAGCAAGTAGAGTAGCCTATCACTTATCGCCTTCACAAATAAGGACCATGGCAAATGATAAACAGCTATGACCCACAGGAGTGATTAAGGAAGTGCACTGAAGTGGCAGCACAGTGGAGGGTCACTGTGGAGTGGGAGAAAGAGGACAGCGCGGCCTCCTGCCTCCCTTACCCTGTCTTATCTGCCCAGATGGACTTGGAGCCAGGACGGACTTACCTTTATTGGGAAAAGATAAGCTCCAGAACCATGTAGGTCCCCATTGTTCCTGCAGATGACTCCTGTGGACCTCACAGACTCTGAACAGAGTTTAAAGTTGCCATAGTTCACGTGGCTGTCTTGCCACACGGTTAGAGCCAGTGTTGTACACCTTCCAGCCCCGTGATCCACCCTGCTACAACTTGGCACCACCTTGAACCTGGTCCCACTGCTAGAGTGCATCCCACCCTAGGGGTTAGTTGCCACAGCACACCTCCGTTCTTGAGACTCCTCTGTCATTTCACCATGCTGGCACTGTGGAGTCATCATGGCAACAGCAGTGCCAAGACCCAGACATCTAAACCAGTGCAGTGCCCCATCCCCCAGGGAATAGACAGACTAGCACAGAGAAGCCAACACAAAGCCTGTAGCCCCCACATCTGCCTGCACTGATGCCCAGCCCAGCAACCAGGCAGATGGCAACCCAACCACTGAAGAACAGATACCAGCCTGACCACACTACCGCAGCACCTTGCCACACTACCACAGTACAAGCACCTGCAGCCTCAGCCACAATACAGAACCACAGACATGGCTGACAAGAAATACAGCTGAAGAAACTGCACAGAGAACACTACTGAATCTGCCCAGAATCAAAGCTGACACCACACCCGATTGAAACCATAGCATCCACCACATGAAAAAGCCTCTCCCTAACAACAACACGATTCCATAAAGTTGGAGGCGGCGACTATGGCACTAGTTGCACAGATATAAAACCGGGGACATAAGAAACATGGAGAAGCAAGGAAACCTGAAACCATCAGGGGTGCACAGTAGTTCTCTAGTAAATAGACCCCAAAGACAAGGAAATTTATGAAAATGTCTGAAAAGGAATTCAAAATAATGGTCTGAAGGAAGCTGAGTGAGACACGGGAGAATACAAACTAACAGTTTAATAAAATAAGGAAAACCATTCATAGAAGGAGAAATTCACCAAAAAAGATACTGTAAAAAAAGAACCAAACAGAAATCTTGTAGCCAAATAATTCAATGAATGAAATAATAAATATAGTTGATAGGCTAAATGAATCGGAAGAAGGAATTAAAACTAACTCGTTCAGAAAAACAAAATGAATGAAAAAGGGCAAGGAAAGCCCACGGGACTGATAGGTTACCGTTAAGTGAATAAATGTCCCCATTATGGGAGTGCCAGAGGTTGGAGAAATGGAGAGGGGCTGAGGAAGCATCGCTAAAAACTTACTAAGTCTTAGGAAAGAGGTGGACATCCAGATCCATGAAACTCAAAGGAAATTCAATTAGACAACCCAAAGATGTTCACGGATTGGAAGAATTCACATTGTTAAATTAAAATGTTTATACTATCCAAAAAATCTATGAATTTAATGCAGCCTATCAAACAGCCAACGGTATTCTTCCCAGAAATGTGGAAGGAAAAAAAATGCTTCTGAAATTCATATGGAACCCTAAATAGCCAAGGCAATACTGAACAAAAAGAGCAAAACTGGAGACATTCGATACCTGACTTCAAACCATTCTACAAAGCCATGGAAACTAAGCAGGATACTGGCATAAAAATAGACACGTAAACCATGGAACAGAATAGAGAACCTAGAAGTAATTCTGTGATCTATATAAATAACCGAATTTCAACAAAGGGAGTAGGAACATACAGTGGAGAAAAGAAAGTCTCTTCAATAAATGTTGAGAAAACACAATGTCCATATCCAGAAGAATGACAGTAGAATCCTCTCACCATATACAAAAATCAACGAAAGGTGGATTGAAGTCTTAAATTTAAGACCCCAAAATATGAAACTATAAGAAGGAAACACTTTATGACATTAGTCTGGGCACAGATTCTTTGGATATGACCCCAAAAACATAGGCAGCAAAAAGAATTGACAGGTGGGATCACATCAACTAAAAGGCTTCCTGTCCAGCAGTGCTTACAGAATGGGGGAAGATATTTACACACTGTTGATCTGACAAGGGATTAATGGGCAGAAGGAACTAAATTCAACAGCACAATAACAATCCAGTTTTTAAATGGGTAAATGATTAGAATAGACATGTCTCAAAAGAAGATACACAAATGGCCAAGTGTATGGAAAAAATGCCCAGCACTGGTCAGCAGGGAAATGTGAGTTTGTACCATAATGACAGGCCATCTCACCCCAGTTGAGTGGCTTTTATCATAATGGCAAAAAATAATAATAAAAAATGTGGACAGGGATGTGGAGAAAAGAGACCTCTCATGCATTGTTGGTGAGAATTAAATTATGGAAAACAGTATGGTATTCCTCAAAATAATAGAAACAGAACTACTATGTTGTTAAGCAGTTCTGCTGCGGAGTATATATCCAAAGGAAAGGAAACCAGTGCATCAAAAACAAACAAACAAACAAACAAAAAACCCTGTAGGTTTATTACAACACCATTCAATATCCATGATATGGAATCAACCTAGGTCTCCATCCGTAGATGAGTAGATAAAGAAAATATGGCAGATATACCACGTGGGATATTATTCAGTAATAAAAAGAATGAAATCCTTTTGTGGCAATATGGATGGAACTGGAGGACATTTTTAAGTGAAGTAAGTCAGGCACAGAGAGACAGATAGCTCATGTTCTCTCACATGTGGAAGTTAAAAAAGTTGATCTCATTAGTAGTAGATTGGAAGGCTGAGGCAGGAGGATCACGAGTTCAAAGCCAGCCTCAGCAAAAGCAAGGTACTAATCAACTCAGTGAGACCCTGTCTCTAGATAAAATACAAAAAAGGGCTGGGATGTGGCCCAGTGCCCCTGGATTCAATCCCCAGTTCTCTCCCCCCAAATAGAATAATGGATGCTGTGAGGGCTGAAGTAGGTGGAGGAGGTTAACAGGTGCAGGGGTGCTCCATAGTGCAGTAGGGCAACTGTGGTTTACAACATTTAAACGTGTATTTCAACCAATGGAGGTAATTTTATATATGTGTGTGTGTGTGTGTATATATATATATATATATATATATATTTTTTTTTTAACTTTAATTTGTTATATATGATAGCAGAATGAATTATAATTCAATTATAATTTGTTATATATGATAGCAGAATGAATTATATCCTCCCACTCCCTCTTGTGCTTGATTCCCCATATAGAGCACAGTTTTTCATATCTCTGGTTGTACACAAAGTAAAGTTGTGTCTTCATACATGTACTTAAAGTGGAGATGATTTTGCATGAATTTTGAACTTTTTACAGGCATGTACCAACCAAATCCACTTTTAATACAAAGACACAGATGAAAAGTAAATTGATACAGGAAAGATATCAATGGAAGCATTGGGCTAACTTTTAGAGCACTGAAAGTAAAATAATCTTACCTTCATCTTTTATTTCTACTTTGCTTTATGACTAGTGAAATTACTGAACTGACACATACTTTTATCTTTTTTCTTATTTTACATTCTTTTTGTTTAGTTCATGGCTTTTACTACCACTGTAACACTAGTAACTTACAAATCTGCATCTTCAGTCCCTGACCTCTGTTGTATTTTAGGTCAACACATCCAATCACATCATCTGACCTGGACGTACCATGGACGTCTTCTACTCAACTTGCCCAGAACGGAATTTACCTTCTTCCTATCACACCGATTCTTTTATTTTTCAATTTCAATAACTACTGCTGTCATCTATTTTATAACAGAAGCAAGAAAACTCTGAAGTCACTCAATCCCCCAACTTACCACCATTTTTTATATCTTAAAAAATAACTTACTTGTTCTTTTCTTTCTTTCTCTTTTCAATATCTTTATTTTGTTTAGTTTTTTTTATGTGGTGCTGGGGATCGAATCTAGTGCCTCATGCATGCTAGGCAAACGCTCTACCACTGAGCCACAACTCCAGCCCCTTACTTGTTCTTTTCTAAAATGTCTCTTTAACTTATCACTAATATTATCATTCTTTCCATTCAGGCAATTACTGTCTCTCAGCCGGCTAACCTCTTGGCTGGCTTCCTGCCTCTTGTCTTGTTGCTGATTATAACAGCCTCTATATTGCTGTCCAGTTGTGCTCCCTAATGCACAGGTCTGGTGGTGCCACTGCCCTACTCAGATGCAATGTTGGCTCTTCACACGGTGTACCTGACACCTATCATATCCTCCCACTCCCTCTTGTGCTTGATTCCCCAGTGATCCCAAACTACCTGTGGTGTCCAGAATAGGCTGTGCTCTTCCTGCCCTGCTCCCTTTATTTATGTTGCTTTTATGCCTTCCTCTCCCCCTTGTCTGCTTGACAAGTTCCTGCTGATTTTCAAAGATGTAATTCAAGGGTGTCTCCTCTGGCAGGCCTTCTGGTTTCCTCGGACTGACGTGGGAACATTTTCTCCTGTGCTTTCCCTCCCCCTTGTTTGTTTCTGCGACATCACAGTAGTCATGCAATGTTATGGTTATGTACATGTCTATATTTCCTTAGTTCAGAGAATCCTTTAGGAAAATGAAAGTTCTTTTTATCTTTTGTTCCTCAAATCCCCTATTTTGTTCACTAATGAATGACTTATTAAATAAGTTAAAGTCTTAGCTGTTTTGTCAGGATACAAGGATTTTATTGACTATTAAGGCATTAATATTGTGCTAAATATTTTGATAATTAATTAAGGTGTTAAATTTTTTGATGATGCCCAAAAAGACTGTGTTGCTTGAAGAAAAATATATCCACAAAAAATTTATTGTAACTCCATTGATGCTTCTCTGTTTCAGCATTAATCAAGTCTGATCTGAGAAGACACAACATAAATATAGGAATTACGAATGTTGAAATTAAAGCTGTAAGTAATATTCATTATGATTATATTATAGAGAAAAGTGTTCAGAGAATAAGTGTGAAACTATTTTTATTTAGACAGTCAACTGTTGATCTGCTGAAATAGCATATGCCAGGTGCTATACATTTTTTATATTCTGATTCTGTTTACAGGTGCCAGTTGATAGTCCCGTAGATCAAAAACCAAAAACGGTTATATTATCCAACCAGCCAGAATCATCAATTTGAAGTTGAAAGAAAAAGTTACTGTCCCTCAGAAATTGGGATACAGCCTGATGATCTTTGGAAAGATATATGGACAGTAAAGCTGGGTTTATTAGCGGTGGAAATGGATATTTACTTGAAAATTACTGTATGAACTGTGAACAAATGGTTGTTGTTTTGCTGGTTAATTTAAGTAATATCTTGCTTAAAATATTTTTGCTCTGCATCATGTTTAACACTACCATTTACCTAAATAGTGTTCATTTTCAGTCATACATCATGTCTGAAAGTAAACTTCTTGATATTTATTCTTTCAAAAGTGTTTTTCTTGTAAACAATGGAAGCTTAAAAGACTTTCTAAAATGATAATATGGGAGTCTTGTCCTCGTAATGCATATAAATGTACATATAGTTTATATAAAAAATATTCAGTGGGACCAAATACACAATCTATTCCTAACTAGCTACCTTTCTACTGTGCTGACCAGCTATCCGGGCCACCACAGTGAATGCAATATACCAACATGATGCTCCTAACCCACTGAAGGACAGTATTGGGATCTGGCATCCAGAAGACTGCTAAGATCCCTTCCCATTTCTTATATTGTTACAAAGTGTTGTAACAGTAACTGTCAATGACCATAAAAACTGTTCCGTGTGCAGATGCTACCATAACCTTGGTCTAAGAATCATGCTCTAATTAAGCTAAGGAGTTCAGACACAGGCACTTGAGTTCTTTTCTGTGCTGCCTTCTTATCATGAATAAATGCTGACACTATATTTTTTAGTATCCCTTGAAACAGAGTAGTTTTATACCCAGTGTCCTTTTTTACTCTCTTCTTATTTTCAATATATAACTTTCTAGCAAGAAAATTTTATCATATGTGTTACTGGTTATCTCATGATTTCTTGTATCACATCCTATATTTTTGCCTTGAAGATTCCTAAGATAAGGAAATCTATAATAACTTCAGATAGCCCGGGTGTCCCCATGTAGTGGAGACCTCTTAGATGCTAACAGCTCTAATTTTTCAGTGTCATTTTTATGACCATTCTCCTTTGAGGAATACTGTGCCCAGGCACACATTCCATTGATGTGCTGAGGGAGCGGATTCTTTTCTTCATCACAGAGTGTGTGTAGTCATCACTCTGTTGAAACAGTCTGCTCTTTTACAAGCTCAGGGTAAGGAGAATAGGACCAAATGTGTTTCCACAGTGCCTACCACTGTGTTTTGTTTACAGTGAGTTTAAATGTTGTTGATGTCCTGACTCAAGCTTATAGGGACTGTCTTTACAGTAATGCCGTTTATCAACCATAATTTTTACATTATGCCCATATACACAAAAAAGCTGATCATGTGATGAATATGCTTGAAGTGAATAACAGTTTTGATTTAAGTGAAATATATGCATTGGTTTATGATCTCTGTAATCAAATGACTATGAATTGTGTGGAATCTGACCCGAGAGAATGTGTTATCAAAACAACATAGCTAAGAATCAAAAACTCTGGTTCTGTGTCCCAGATCTGCTTCTGTTTGTCATTGTCACTCTGGACAAGTTGTTTAACCTCTCTGGGTGGCATTTTCCTGATCCATGAAATGAATGTATTCACTTTGATTTTTTCTTTTCTTTTTTTAAAGAGAGAGAGAGAGAGAGAGAGAGAGAATTTTTTAATATTTATTTTTCAGTTTTCAGTGGACACAAAAATCTTTATTTTTTTTTTATTTTTATGTGGTGCTGGGGATCGAACCCAGTGCCCCGCGCATGCCAGGTGAGTGCGTTACCGATTGAGCCACATCCCTAGCCCTCACTTTGATTTCAAAGATCTTTTTAAAATATTAAATATCATTCATCATGGAGTAAAACAAGTCTAACCAGAGAAAAATGTCTTTGATGATTGTTGGTGGAAACAAGGGACTTTCAAATCTGTTTTTAGCCTCTGCAGTAGGTCAGGCAGAAGGTCAGGCAGAATAGGCCTGATCAGTAAGTAGCTTCTTTTGATATTTACATCATAGGTTAAAATTGCCAAAAATATTTTAGGATACCCACTCCCAAATAATTGTTTCTATTTTGAAATTGTCTGTATTTAAAATAAATTTACTGAGTTCCTAAGGTTTTGAACAAATTATTGATAAAAGTTGGAATACTTTCTTTCTGAAAAGTGTACACATATGTGTTGTATATTTTTTCCTTGTTTAGAAAAGGGGCAAAAAAAGATGTGACAGAATCCACAATGAATTGAGAGCTTTTCTGTGTTTTGAGTGAAAATTTCTAAGATGTGTCAAACGAGAATGTTATAATTTTGCAAAATGAAATAGGTGATCATCTTCTGTATAAATTTCAATCAAATGATTTTAGGAAAAAAGTGATGGTTTCAAAAGCTGTGGTGTTTATAGATATTGCAAATATAGCTTTTGCCTTTTCAGAATGTTGGAGAAATGTTTTTGAAAATATATTTGTGTGTAAAATATGTTTGTGTGCAATAGCTAGAAGAATGCCTGTGTTTTATGTCATTATTCATGTTCTAATTTTTGCTCTTTGTACAGTTTATCTTTTTGCTTATTCTTCATTATTTCAGACTCAATAAATTTATTTTTTTAATGTTAATGTTGTTTGCCTTTTTAGAAAAAAAGTTCTGGTGCTAAGTTATTCACAAGGAGTGGAAAGGGATTATAAGATTTCAGGATAGCCTGAGGAGGGAAAGAGGTAGTTTATGGAACACGAGGAAACAAAATCCACCAAGGTCAGGACTAAAACAAACCAACAGATTTTATTCATTTACAAATAACTTCAGAAAGTGAGGTCAGCAAGATGGCAGAAGAGGATCTTCCTGTTGTCATCCTCCTGCAAAAGCATTGATTTCAATAACTACCCACGGACAGGAGTAAATTTGTGGGTGTCCAAAAGTTCAGTGTAGAGATTTAAACACAGAGTTTGAGCGAAAGATCTGAGAATAGATGCATTGAAGAAAGTAAGAAGAGCAATTTCACATTAGCCACATGACCACATCCTCTAAGTGGCACAACTCAGTGCCCAGAGAAACTGTCACTCTGGGATTTCTCTCAGGAAAATGAAAGCATGAACACCTGTTTCCCCCAGCTGTATGGGATGCTTTCCAAGAGGGCTACTTATTTCTTGTCCCAACCAGAAGACTAAGGTGATTAATATGGCCCAGTGTTGGGAAAAGCCAGACTCAAAGAAGAAAGGCCATGGAACACATTAACCGCTCTGCACATTAATCACTATACACACAAACCACTTGGGAGGCTTTGCTATGGACCACCCTCTTGCCATGTAGACTATGGTCACCCCAAATACTGTGTACATCTCACCCTCTCTTCTCTCAAGGCCGGCTCCCTGAACATACCCCTATAAATAGTGACTGCAGGTATCTTCTGCAGGTCCTGGCTCGGCTCTGCAGCATTGGAAGAAGAAGGCACTTGAAATTTTTAAGGAGCCACCCTAGGGAAAACAAACAGGAAGTTCTGAGCACCTCACCTGGCTTTGCAGGATTAAGGGAAGACATACAATCTTGAGAATAGGTGTAGAGCAGGCAAATCCCTAGCAAATGTCTGAAAGAGTCACAGAATCCCTAGTCAGGCTGGTTGGTAAAGGCATTTCTCTCCCAAGATAGTAAAGACTGAAGGAGTGATTACCTCTTCAAATGCAGAGACAGCAACTAAGACTTCAAAGAACCTCCCTCCCCCCAAATCAGGGAAACATGATATCACAAAAGAACACAATATTTCAGTAACTAAAGAAATTAAGTTTATAAATTACCTGACTAGGAATCAAAACTAGTTGTCTTTATTTATTTAGACTGCTAGGGATTAAACCCAGGGAAAAATAATTGTTTAAGGAAACTCAGCAAAGCTACATGAGGAGACATGCAACTCAAGTCTAAAATGGAATAAGTAAAACAAGATGTTTCACAGATAGAAATCATTAAAAAGAATAGAATTTTGCAACTGATGAATACAGTAGATGAAAGGAAAAATGTCATGAGTGTCAACAGCAGACTTGACCAGGCAGAAAGAGAGCAAAAACATGAAAAGGAATGACAAGAAGCTACAGGATTCATGTAACATCTTCAAGAAAGCTGACTTTTTTTTTTTCCCCCTTTTGGGGAATTATAAAGGAGTGGAGAAAGAAAAGTGGTCAGAAAGCTAATTATTTAAAGAAAAACAGTCTGAAATTTTTCCAAGTGTGAAAGAGATATGGACATCCAACTACGTGAAGCCTAAAGGTCCGAAATCAGGTTCAACCCAAATAAGACTTTGCCAAGACACATTGTACTCAAACTTTTAAAAAGAATTTCAAAAGCAGTAAAAGAGGCTTATCACAGACAAAGGAACTTCAGAGGCTGTTAGATTTCTCAGCAGAAGCCTTGCAGGCCAAGAGAATGGGATGTTCTTTGAAAATGTGAAAAGTAAAAAAACAAAAACAAAAACTGCTCACCAAGAATACTTCATCTGTATTGAAGATGACGGGCTGTAGCTCAGTGGCAGAGCACTTGCCTAGCATGTGTGAGTGAAGCACTGGGTTTGGTCCTTAGCACCACATAAAATTGAAACAACTACAAAAATAATTTTAAAAAATACTTCACCCAGAAAAGCTATCCTTCATAAATGAAAATTTAAAAGAAGAAAGAAAGAAAATCCCAAGTAAAAGTTGAGGGAGTTCAACTTGAAGAGAATTCTTCAAGCTGAAACAAAAGCATGCTAACTAATTCCTCACATGAAAAACATGAAAACATAAAACTCACTGGTAAAGGTGATTATAGAGTCTAGTTCAGAATATCTTAATAATGTCATGGTGGTGTATATAGAATGTTTTAACAGTAAGATGTTCTATTCAAACCTCATGATGGCCACAAAGCAAAAATCTATAGTAGATATAAAACAGGTTAAAAAAAAAAGGGAATCAAAGCATATCACTAAAGAAGATTATCAGATTTAAAAAAAAGGCAGTAAGGAAAGAGGAAAGTAACAATGGATCTACAAAATGCAAGAAAACAATGAACAAACTGGCAATAGTAAGTGTTGGCCCCTAAGTAATTACTTTGAATGTAAACTGATTGAATTTTCCAATCAAAAGGCACAGGATGAATGAATGGATTAAAAAATAATAACTCTCTGCCCCTATAGGAGAATCACTTCAGCTTTAGGAATACACATACTGAAAAGGAAGGAATGGGGGGAAAATCGTGTGAATGGAAAACAGAAAAGTGGACTTTTAAGTCAAAAACTGCATCAAGCGGGGGTGGGGGGTGGGGGGTGGGCTGGGGTTGTTGCTCAGTGGTTAGAGTGCTTGCCTAGTATGCGTGAGGCACTGGGTTCATTCCCCAGTACCACATAAAAAAATAAAAAATAAATAAAAGTATCAAAAAAAAAACTGCATCAAGGAACAAAAAAGTCAGTATGTAATGGCAGAGGGATCAGTACATCAAAAGGACATAGCAATCATGAGTTGTCTTTTACACTTGGATAACCACACTTTGAGAGAGGAGACTGGCCGTTGTCTGGATGGATTGGCCTGTGGGAAAAAAGTGAGAGGGAAGAGCAAGGGAGGGTTAAGGATCAAAGGACTCTAATGAGGAGACAGGAAATATAAAGAGCTACTGGAGACAGAGAAGGAATCCATTGGACAGAAAGCAGAAAAATTAGGGGTAGTTTTATTAGTGAAGCCAAGGAACTGACACAGTGAATTTTCATGCAGCATAAAATCGAGTCTAATATAAGAGAGGGATTTCTCTTCAGTGAAAAATCCCGAATCCTTCAAAATCCATTTTCACCCAAACTGAGACAAATAAGCTCTGGGTCATGACAGCTAGGACCAGATTTATTGGTGGACAGAATTTTCCATTGCATAATCCAGAGTGTAGGATTTAAAAAGCTGTCCTTGGAGAGGATATAAAAACAGTGTCCCTCTCTCAGATGCTGAATGAGAAGAAAACAAATCATTCTAGTCCACAGCGCTTGATCAGTGTTTGTTCATGTGCAAGATGAGATGGGAGCCCAGGGAGGACAGGGGGGGTCCCCTCCAGCTCAGCAGACACACAGGCTGCTCTTGTTCGCGCAGGCAGGGCTTTTCTATTGAGCAGAGGACCGGAATGCCGGGAGCCCCCAGGTTCATTGGTTTTTTTGCCTCTTATGCCTCTGCTCACCCCAGCCCTCACCTTCACCTCGCTCTTCAAAATCTTTCCTCAACGTCCATCTCACAAGTTATGGAGGACCCGTAACAGCCTCAAATGTAACTCTCTGCCCCTATAGGGGCATTGTAAACTGGTTTAGGCTAAATGAATAAAGACGATAGCTTCAATTGTCCAGTAAGAAACTGAATGAGGCTAGTGTCCTTTTTTGTGTTCCTGAAGTCACTCTGCATTACATTAGTGCCTCATAACCTATAAGTACATCTGCCTTTTCCTAAGCACTAAAAATCTGGCAGCTAAACCCTTGACTGTCAGGCACAGTGCTGGAGAGAGCCATTTCCACTCCAAAAAATGGGGAGAGCATGCCCTCTCCTGGCCATTTAATGAACTGTTTCAGAGTAGTTGAAATTTCAGAGGCTTGTGGAAAGAGACTTGTCTGACTTGCCCGGTATATATATGTGTGTGTGTGTGTGTTTGGTTGTAGATGCTTTGTGGAAGGAACCATTGAATTAGAGCCAGACCTCTGTGTGTGTGTGTGTGTGTTTGGGACCATCCATATGTCTAACAGGTTTGGAGATATGGCTGAAATAAACTGACATTTCCTTGACCCCAATCCTCAAAACACACACACACACACACACACACACAGTGTTAATTAAACAACTGAGTGGCCACCTGGGCAGTATAGCATGAGGGAAACATTAGCTATCAATGACCTTTCGGGTTTCTAGGTCACATCCAAGCAAAATAATGGGATGATCAGTGTGGCAAACAGCCCAGTGACCCAGCCTAACTCGGATGGAAGTTTGCACAGGACACAGCTTCTGTGAATGGAAGAGTGTGTGGTGTTTTTTACTGGCTGCTCCTCTGTGGAACCCCTCCAGTGCCCCTGGCCATGTTGTGACAGGAGGAGGAACTTGCTTATAGTATATACCCTCAGCTGGGCCCACCAGCTTTCTCCAGTCCCCATCCTTGCTGACCAAAGATCAAGTCGTTGAGGACCCACGCTGAGATGTGACAGACCCGTGCTGGCACAGGACTGGACTGTGATGGTAGCCTCAGAGCCAGGTTACTTGGGAATCCATGAAAACAAGCTCTCCAGGCTGGGGGGGATGCTGACCTGGCCCGGGGAAGACTGAAAGCATGCCCCCGTAGGTGACATTGCTCAGCATTTCTCCCTGTCATTCCCTGGGAGAAGAGGATATTATTTTCACATAGGAAGGGGGACTATTGGCACAACACACTGGGGTGAACCCCTGCGGCTGCCCTGCTGGAGGCCCTGGGCCCTGCTTCCTTACCCAAGGCTGAGCTCTCACTCTCACGCCACACCAAAGCCCAGGAGTTCTCAAATGTGCAGATGCCTCTGAACCACCCAGAAGGTTGATGAAATCGAGTGCTGGACTCTGAGGTTCTAGTTCTGTAGGTCTAGGCTGGAGACTGAGAATTTGTATTTGTA